TTTAATGTGATTTGACAGCTCAAATGTAATTGCTAAAACTTTAACCACATTTTGTGGCAAATCGTGGGGAGGTTACTTAACTTTTTTGACACGTGACACCGATTAACCTAACTTAAATCCCCAATCGATTTCACTTGTCAAAAAAACTGGCGTCAGCTCCCAATGAATTGCCACATCTATGGAAATTGCAAATGGTCCACAATCGATTGAGGACAAGGTACATCATATTAACATTTCATGTGAAATCAGCATCGAATATTGTCGACATCTGTAACTATCGACAATACTCGGTTTTCGATGTACACATGACGTAGTATAGAAGGACAAAGATTTCCACAATCAAAGAATACCATCTGTTTTCAGGTACTACCGAGTGGTTACAGTTTACTGTCGTCATGTCACACTGAAAGTAATCGTGCAAGAACATTACTTTGTTAACCATAACAGCCACCAGCAGCTATGTCACGATATGGTATACGATACGATTTGTTTGAAGCATTCGCTGTCTCATTATTTGTTTGTTATTAAAGGGCCGTATATTGCTGAAAATTGAAATAGAAATCTGAGACGTGTAAAACGGAGCTCCCTCTGTGCGATTAGAGATCAGAGGGAATTTCCATTCCACTTTCTACTGCAGTTTTGTATACTTTTGCTACAATTTTGATAGTATAAAACTGCATTAACATCAACAATTTTTATCTCCGAAATTCATAGTGCGGGAATCTTAGTCAGAGATGCAACTTCCATTATATCTTGTCGCAAAATTTGTATTCCTGCTTCAACAATTTCGTCAACGAAGGAAGAACACGAATCAGATTAGTAGCGTTTATTAAGCACCACAAAATGTGGATTGACGGTGACAGTAATTCCAAAATTACGTAGTCCAGCACTTCTGACCTCTTCATTCAACCAATAGTTGTTTCGGTGGTGGTTTATAAATGCTTTGTTTGGCAAATGTTGTGGACTGCTCATGCTACTGTACATCATTAGTTAATATTACATCTGTATAGCTAGAGTACTTACAATTACCAATACAAATTTTTGTCAGAAAAAATCTAGGGTGTAATTTGAAATTGGACGAGAATATTTCCGACTTAAATGATAAGTCGGAAATTAATAAGGTGATGTGGTTGTCCTCTCAGGACCAAGCTCGAAGAAAATGTATTTAGTGTTTTTGGACCAGGTTTCTATTTCAAATGCGGCAATTACAGTTTCTGCTTCTGACTTGGCGTGATTGCCTGGTCTTAACAGTATCTGCATGCTCATTGCTCATGCTGTTGGTGAATTTGTACTGTGTATTCAATAGCCCTCGGTTATTTGATGTATATGTTTTATTTGATTTGTTTTCACATTTATAACGTCAAGCAGAAGTGACGCGACAGAGGAGGTTCAGTGGGGGAGATATAAAAAAGGCCAAATCGAGGTCATTACTCATTTGTGAAGGTTTCCTTGCTAGCACACTGACCTATTCTGTGATATAGCATTATCATATGCTATTCGCCCAACGTTATTACTTGGTTCACTATCGATACAGGAGATTATCATTGTTCTCGTGATTTGATCTTTCTGTGTGGCATGTTTGTGGATCGGAATAACAACTGGTTTACTCATGTTTTTGATTGCTATACAGTTCGTCCTCACAGATAAGTTTCAGGCCATAGCCTATGCTGTATATAAAATGCGTTGTAGGCTAAGCTACGGGAACTTGAGCTGCATGACATCTTTTTAAGATATTATCCAATGACATTGGCTTCTCAGATTATTACAATTTATGCAAAAAGACTGTTTCTAGAGGAAACTACATGCTCCAAAGTGTTAAAAACCTTTGATAGAGCATCCTGCATCAATTCGAGTCATTTGGCCGTTATGTGTATTGAACATGGGAAAATATTCTAAGCATGGGAAAATATTCTAAGCACGGAAAAATATTCTAAGCATGGACAAATATTCTAGAACTGTTGGTAACAACATCGTGAGTTCAATAAAAATTTTCAGGGACCACATTCTTGGATACTCTAGGAGAAAGTGTCGCTGCCGCTCTGCGGACAGTAGCGCGGAAAGACGAAAAGCTAGCAGAGAGAATTGCTATCGACATAGAGCACCAAATTATCAACAAAATTTATTCAGGAAGGCCATCCAGGTAAATATATATATCTATTATTATATTGTTCTATGGTGTTCACACCTATTGTTAAAATTTGCAATGATCGCGTGTCACGATCGTAGCGCGGCGTAAGTGTGCTTTTTTTGCAATTGAATTATGTAGATGTACTTTAAAGCACACTTACGCTGTACAACCGTCACACGTCTTAACAATAGGTGGGAACACCATGCTATACAATGGATATTGGCCTTGGGTTAGAGTGGAACTGCAGTATCGTGGTAGGGGTAAACCATCTGAAATTACTTGATTTAACAACGAATCTGTATAAATTACTGTTTGCATCATAAATTTAAAGAATAATTGCAGAACAACCTCAGGAACCTCGCTGATTTGTAATTCGTCACTGCGCCGCTACCTGCGGTTGCGCAACTACCCGTGACTGCACTGCTACTAAGTTTTTTATCAAGAGTATCAAACCCTGATTTTGTTTGATCATTTGTTTTTTAGATGCTCTGATATTACTCTTCTCATCATATTGATATAAAAATTGTTAATAAATTGTTTATAGTAGTAATAACTAATATGGTTCTGTGTGCAGATTTTGATATGTCGGGTTTACTTTGTATTTTCACGAAGGAATTCTTCACCAAACTAATAATTTTATGCTGGAATGGAATCCGTTCTGTAAAAGTGTAAAGGTTTCTTTATATTTCAGAAACAGCTTTTATTTCCTAACAGCCACTGCTTCCGTCCCAGCCTTCAGCCTTGATATTTTAATTACATCATATTTGATCGAGATTGTTAGGAAAGTTTATTATCAAGAGTATCAAACCCTGATTTTGTTGCTGGTATTACTCTTCTCATCATATTGATATAAAAATTGTTAATAAATTGTTTATTATATAGTAGTAATAACTAATATGGTTCTGTGTGCAGATTTTGATATGCCGGGTTTACTTTGTATTTTCACGAAGGAATTCTTCACCAAACTAATAATTTTATGCTGGAATGGAATCCGTTCTGTAAAAGTGTAAAGGTTTCTTTATATTTCAGAAACAGCTTTTATTTCCTAACAGCCACTGCTTCCGTCCCAGCCTTCAGCCTTGATATTTTAATTACATCATATTTGATCGAGATTGTTAGGAAAGTTTATTATCAAGAGTATCAAACCCTGATTTTGTTGCTGGTATTACTCTTCTCATCATATTGATATACAAATTGTTAATAAATTGTTTATTATAGTAGTAATAACTAATATGGTTCTGTGTGCAGATTTTGATATGCCGGGTTTACTTTGTATTTTCACGAAGGAATTCTTCACCAAACTAATAATTTTATGCTGGAATGGAATCCGTTCTGTAAAGGTTTCTTTCTATTTCAGAAACAGCTTTTATTACCTAACAGCCACAGTAATATGGTGTGTTTCACTGCGTTGTCATACTGGGTTTTGCATTGTTTTTTTTTGAAACCTTCATCAAGTAGATATATAGCATTGTAGGTCAATATTTTGGTTGATTTTCCTTTTCGTATAATGTACTGCATAATGTATCTACTGCTAACTGCAAATAATTCTGTTATCTCGACTTACTTATTTGTAGGAAACATGTTCGAAAGGGAAACGTCGGTTACCAAGATTCAAAATGATGACAAGAAGAGGAACATGTTGAAGTACCTTAATATTTTTTTGCTAACCGAAGTGAAGGATAAGCTGGACTTTCTCCACATGTTAGTAGATGTGTAACGATCACGTTTTGAGAGCTAACAACCATAGCGCAGCTGCCAAGACAATTTTTACTGATACATAAATTATATGATGAGCTGAAACTACACTATCAGCCTTGCAGAATAAGAATAATAGCCTACAATGATTAGAAGATATTTCAACTGTTCATATTTTCAGAAAGACGTTCACACCTACGAACATTGACAAGTTGGTAAAAAGCCTGCAGTGCGATCTAGATTGTAAGCCCAGTGGCAAATAGTCAGGCGTCCAGGAATTTAACACCTAGTCAAAATTTGTTGATAACCGGTAAAAAAAGATTCTTGTGGAAAAAATATTCACATTAATTTAAAATTAAATCAAAATTGGTCGCTCTCAGGGCTAACGCGATGTTACATCATTTTATCGACTCGAAGTTCGAATCGAGCGCATTCCTAGATTCCATGACTATTTCTTACCTATAAGATTGCTTGACTATTTTTTGCGCATTCAGACACCAAAAAACGCGCAGAAAACGCGAGCTATCCATTCCTCCTTCCTCAACATCCCGGAATATGAAAAAATAGTCATGTAAAATAGTCATTTGAAATAGTCATGCAAAATTTCAGCTCTGATACGCTAAAATATCAAGTTAATCTTAAACAATCGACAATCTAATATGAATCCTCCCAATCCTCCCAGCCATATTAACTGGTGAACGGTGTAAATATAGAGCGGTATTTTAAAATGTAGCATTCAAAATTTTATGGATTCAAGTTGGCTCCTTTAGTCTAGATTCATTTAGAAAATTCTCGAAGTTCGAGTAATACAGTATTCTCAGGGTTTGGCGCTTAAGGAAGCTTCACATCCGAGACCGATTTCCACGAATCAATTTAATATTGTAGCTACAAGTCAACAACAGTGCAAGTGGGAAGGAAGTGAATCTAGCCATTGCTACTATATCAGGGGAACTCGTGTGTTCTAGGCTTAAGCAAGCTTCACATCCTAGATCATCTAGAGTACAGTGCAGACAACCCCCTCCATTATACATCCCTATCCCGCTTTAAGTCCGAAGTTTATCATTGTTTATTGTCCAATATTGTATCTAACCTGGCAGAAGCAAGCTTCAGATCCAAAGTCAGGCCATAAATATCGACACAAGGTCGATGCCACTTTCAGAGTAGCGAATCATTCATCATGCTGATGAGAGTCAAATCTTTGAACACGATCTACCGAGTTAGTATGAAGAATAGTATGCAGATGTCTGTGGGCTAGGGTCTATACTTCTTTTAAAAAATATTTCCTTGCGTTTCAAATAAATTAAAGAATTCTCAGAAATTTTTTATTTAATTTCAAAATTTGCAATTGCATATTCATCCGGTAATTATTCTAATGGATACGCTAAGCATTTCAAACTAATCTTGACCTGGGAGAAGAGCTGACCAGTGACAAGTCGGCCGCAAAGCGGCCGAAAAATATATAGCCTTTTTTTCTTCCCAAAATGGATTCCTAGTCATATTTAAAATTTATTCCACTGGGATTGTAAGTATCCTCTGTTAGCCTCTCCTCCACACTTCTTTTTATTTGTTCATAAATTGGAAGCATTGTCATGGATTCTTTGAACAAGTGGTTGCGCAAAACGGTAGTTTAAAGGGCTTGGGTTGTGGTCTGGGTTAATGTTGTGTAACGGTAAGGGTTAGAGTCGGGGATCGAGCTATCATAGCTCGGAGCTAGGCCAGGTTTAGGTGTAAGACAACGTTTGAGATTTAAAACCAGGGGGCCAACGATCGTGAGGTGAAATGTCGAGGGGTGAAAACCCGTTTAATTCCATGTGATGGATTGTTTAAAAAAGTGGTCGAAAGGACGATTTAAAAGACCGTACTTGATCGTTGAAAGTTAATGATTCTCCTCTAAGACGTGTAGATATATGTAGATACGTTTTAAGTCATTAATATACCAGGAGAGAAAATCCGCATCTTATTGATGAACTATGCTTCCTTTCGACCACTCTTTTATCGACCAATGAAGTCACGTATGGGTAAGGTACTATGTGATCACTGATCAGGTATCTACTCCACTTACTCATTCGGCTGTAATTACAGTGCACATTGATGAGAAAAAAGACAAGACTTTGGCAAATAGGAAGTTGCTAATATCAACAATCTGTGAGCTGATCACCGCCCTCAAAAAGATAAAAGTAAGTAATTATACTTGATGTCACAGATCTTCCGAAATAAGGTCCTGGCAGTGGGATCAATTAGAACATCCGTAATCAGATTGAGCTGTACATGATAAGCAGGCATTTTGCTTTGTACAAGTTTAAACAAGTTTCCCGTTTTTTACTTTACTAGGTTCCAGTTGATAATTACCGACTGCAACATCACCTTAGTTCAGTCGGGTGGAATGTTTGCAGTGTTTATAATTGCCTATGCTTCAAAAACATGCTGTGGCATACAGTATAAACAATTTCCTGAACAGGGAGGTAGGAGTGGTGATGGACAGAGTGGAAGTCTGACAAAGTTAGACGAAGACATCAAGAAAGTTTTTTGGAACTTCTTTACAGCTAAAGACGACAAGGTTTGAATATAGTTCTTCAACTTAACAGTTAATATTCTCACTGATTGAACATAAATTGATCATTCCCCCCTGAGTCCTGATAGGTATTGATTATGAATCGCTTTCACGTGGTGTATTAGATATTACATTAGCTATTAATTTTACCTACCATTGACCTTTAGCAACCCGGAGAAGACAGTGTTGATGGAGGAGAACAATTGGCAACAACTGTTAACGAGGCTCCGATCAGGGTCTCTAATATTTTCGAGAGATGCGACATAGGTATACATATTGTTACATTATAATTATACCATAGTGAAGCTCACTCATATCACTGTATGAGAATTTCGCTGTAACTCATGACCGACGATAAATTTGCCCTACCTTCTCTGATCGTCTGTATCAGTATAGCCTATCTTGGGCTTTAAAATGAATTGCTGCATTATGGTTAATCGTAGGCGATTCCCAGGTGCTATTCAGAGAGTGATAAAGAAGATGCCCCCGGTTCCCGTCACGAAACCTGGATCATTGACAGCCCCCGAGAGTGAACAGAGTGAGTTATAGCTATTTTAAAAGTCATCCGGATGGGTCACTAGGCGCTACCTGTGCTGAATATGCTAATATTTGTTTAGTCATTTTTTGTACTATCTACTGATCGTAGAAACAGTTTTGTGTCATCGTCAGAGCGGACTCCCAGTTTGAAATTTTATGGGTTTACAATACGATTCTTCAAGTAGGAACATCCTGCAATAAACTTCGTTTTCATACACTAATCCGCTGTGACGTTTCCAGGTGCTGTTCAGAGAATAGCTTTGGCCATCCGGAGCGAGCCCCGGGCCCCCGTCGCAAAACCCCCCGTTCAACCGGACACCACACCAGCAGCCGGGCCTGCGCCTCCAACCAGCAAGGTCCGAAAAGACCACATATCCAGACTTCAGAAAGAGTCCGAGAGTCGCCTGAGTGAGTTACAGCTATTTCTAAACATCATTTAGAATTATCGCCTGTAATATGGATGGGTCACCACTCACCAGGCGCAGGAAGAATTCATCTTTGGTCAATTAAAGTTGATACTTTCATCTTTGACCATTTTTTTGTACGATCTTTGTGACGAGTAAAAATTGGAAACCGCATTATTTAATCAGACTTTTGTGTGATAACTGACGCGTTCGCCATAATACAAAACTCCCTAACCTTAAGGCGTAAGGTTTCCCTCTGTGCAACGTCGAAAATAACTTAGTCACGCCTTTATCATTTCAGAGAGACGACATCTTCACCCCAAGGGCCTCCGAGATACAATGGTTGAGGAGGCTTTGAAGATCAATCCGGTGATAGGTAATAATTCAAGTGCAACATATCGTTTTTAAACTTTCGGACATTAATTTTTCTTCAAGTCGAAGATTGCATCGCCGTTTCCACACAAAGGTAGCTGGTTTGACGCACATCAAGTCTATTTTAAGCGATATAATACCCATTCACGGTCGAAATGGGGGTTAGTCGATATGCAATCGAAACCACTACAGTTTTAGGTCACTATAAGTCACGTTTCACTTGGTATGTGTATATAACTCAGTTCTAAAGTTAAAACTAACCCACTTCTGCAGGTTATCTCAGAAATCCATCTCTTTACTTTTAGCAAATTTCATGTCTGTTTGAACCTCAGTCTTTTATCAGGAGCCGTGGCCGAACAGGCGAGACAGATCCTCCAGGAGGATAGATGGGATGTGTTCGGCAAGAGTATTGCCCAGCTGTCGGCTGTCGCATATCAAGGTAACTTATTTATAGGTATTCGATCAAACAGTCCCGGAAAAAATTGGCTCACCGGCGCGGCCCAGCCAAAATATTTGCTACTCTTTTTTTGCAACAAAAAATCCTTGATCACGTCCAAATACTAGGGTCTCCCCAACAAAATCTTGCACCGGTCGAAAGCCGCGAGATTTAACTACCTAGACAAAACAATCTGCCACAATCTGCTTTCCAATCCAATAAGTTTGCACAGGAAAAAAACTGAATTCGTTTTGTTGATATGATGTGTGGTCAAAGCAACCTGTCTCCATATAATACTATCCGTACAACAACAAGAAATGTAGGATCATTGAATCTTTGGCGACTAATGTGGGGGGGGGGGGTAAACCCTATTTTGACTCATTTTGCCTCATTTTTCCCTTTTTTGGCTGCCCGAATGAGGTAAAATAAAGTAAATTTCGGCAAAAACATTTGTCTCTAAAAAGGCTCAGAAAACTAGATTCATTTACCTCACTTTACCTCATTTTACCTCATCCCAATTTTGGCTGCCCGAATGAGGTAAAATGAAATTGACCCCCCCCCCCCCCCCCCCCACTAATGTTTAGAACTCTTTCAGACGAACTGGAGCTCATGGAGCACGCAGGAAAGATCCTACTCAAGATCGCGGCAGACGCGAAGACAGTAAGTAAGATTCAGTCTCCTCCTCATTACTCGAATTTGTTGGGTCAGTTATTTAATGAAAAATTTTTACCGTTAAATTGTGTGGCTGTGTTGTCTGTGACATCGTTTCCAAGTGGGGAACATGGTTTATTTTTAATTAATTTTATCATAAGAACAGGTCCAGCTTTATTATTAATTGTATATTATGCAGAGTCTGTGAAAACTGTTCATTTCAGGCTGGAACTGATTGAAAACCCTCCTTCGGAGCTCTTCGGACGCAGCTTGTCCCTCGACGATTCTCCTAACCATCTTGTGGATTCTGGGGAGAGGACAAGGACAAGATTGCATTATTATTTTAATTATGTCAACCCGATTGAGATCCAGAGATAAGTTATGGCTTCCCATCTTAGACCACAACTCAGCTCTTTATCTGCATAAAAGAAACACCACCCGCCAGATTAAATTCACTTAAATTCCATCATTTGTATTAGGTCAATGAAACTGCATACATAACAAGCTTAGACATTTCCTCGAATACACCTGGAAAAAAAATGGATGTATACTTTTGGAAGTACATAGAATCTCCTGGGAGACCCTATAAAAAATCTTCGCATTTTTCTATTGGCGTTTTTATAAAACCTGATAAATAGAGCTCCTGATCAACGATACTCATCGTTTTAGCATCCAATCCTTTCAGAATGGTAAGAATTTGAGTTTTAGAGTTGCTTTTAAAGGGTTCTAAAACTTAACTCACTTCAAATTTAAGCAAATATATGGCCTGATATGTGCTCAGTATTTTGTTACACGTGTATTTGTATTTGTAACACGTGTATTTTTAAGAATTGGTAATTTAACACTTGTAATTATTTTTGTAATACGTGCATGTATTGTTTTGACTAACACGTGTACTTTTCTAGAACGTGTTTTTTAAATGTCCTCCGCAAGTGACAAGCAGTCCACACGGCCAATGTTGCGTGAACTGCTGTCTGCTACGGTGATCTTATTCACACAAAAGGAATAAACTAAGAATAATGTTCATTTATTTATCATACTGTGCTATGTTTTCACGTATTTGATTTAATATCTTTATCTGCCTAAAAGAATTGTGTTATCATTAAGTCATCAAGCTTCGTAAACTCGACATTTTCAATAGCTGTGGGCTAAACAAGTTTTCGCCATATTTCAGTCACCGTTAATCTTGTTATCATTATATCTGGTGGTTTTTTAACCGAACCAATGCATCATATTCCAGTCCCGCCAAATTGTGACAAATACTGGCAAATTTTTAAAAATTTTCTAATTTGCCGCAGACGCGATTACTGAAACCTTATGAAAGCTTTCAGCGCGGCTGACATTGTCATGCTTTCAGGCGCGCGACGTTTCAGGCGCGCGACGTTTCAGGCGCGCGACGTTTCAATTTCACTCGTAGGTGGGCACACCAGTGTTATCCTTAAGTCTTGATTATGACTAATTCGCGAGGTTCTCACCAAATTGATAGTAAAATTGTTTAAGTTTCGTGCATTTGAATTACGCTGACGCATATCTTCGGTGAAGCTATTTCGCTCTTCGGAGCAGCGAAGGAAATAAGTGCACACACAGTTGACAGCATAGGAGCGCCTTTCTTGATTCCAGGAGTCGTGCCTGAAGAGAGGAGGGGAGGAGGTGGTTCCGATCCATGTCGACTCAAAGTATCTTGCGAAGGCAGTCATCTCAGCAGGAAGAGAAGGTTTGAGAAGCCGCCACGCCTGGTCCACATCACTGACTGGAACGAAGGGGAGAGGAATAAACTCGATGGATGAGGAAGACATAGTGGTATAAGATAAACACAGGCGTTGCGGGTTTATATATTATTCCCGCTAGCTGATTGAGATACCGAGCATGTGAAGGTTCACATCACTGTATTGTCGTATAGCAGGTCATTATGGATGACTTGATCCGAACCAGTTCTCGTTAGGGCTCCTCGTTGCGTACGTAAGTCTGTGGATCACATGTCTGACAGGCCCATAGCAAGCACTCCATGAGAGCACCGGCTCAGATCACGTCATAATATTAGACTAGTGAACTAAGATCAACTGGTAGGGATTGAGGTATATTTCAGGACTGAATCACTACCGGACTGAATCACTACCAGTAGTGATATTTGGGTGGTAGTGATTCCGTCCGGTAGGGATTCAGTCCTACAATCACTAATCTTCTCCCTGAGACCGGGTAATTGTAGGTTTTGTGGGCGGGGTTTTCTAGACTTTTTAATATTATATGCTGTCATTAGCAAACAGTTTATGGCTTTGTGTTAATAAAAATCCATGAAACTGAAGTTGCAGGCATTCCTCTTGAAATATTTTGCGTGTTTGACAAACCCTTTACAGAGCTGGAATTTGCCAATCTTGTATTTTAGTCTAACAAATTTGCACTGTAAGCATACCGATACATCTGATAGCCTTGTAATGATTCTCTTGTAAACCTCCGCCTGCTCCTCGCTTTGAACTCCCATGTGTCATCCGTACTTACTGATAGGGGGAGAAAGATGGGATATTGACTGAGGATAAGATCCTTCGCACGCAACTGTCAACGTCGTCTACTTTGATCCTGCCGGCGCCCTCGCTGTCATACTCTCTCCATGCCTCCTCAAATTTGGAGATATCAAGCTGATATTTTCCAGATCTCAGTTCATTAATGACGCTTCTAGACTCTTCCGATAATAGCATCCTGTGGAATGTAGGTGAGTAATTGGAATTCCTATCGCAATTCTAAATATAATAGTTGCATCTTTTTGGGATTTCTTTATGCCCCACCTTTCATTTGTCTTAGGTTGCATGGTTGATGATTTGGCGAATTTTTTATCCAATCTTCCATTTAATGTTTTTCTATTGACGTCGAATTTTTCAATTGTAATATTCCTTATACAGCATCAAATACTATGACAAAAATGGGAAGCTCGATATTAATTGAAAGCAATGCAGTGCAGTATTGTGTGGTTTATTGCCTTGTCGACTTCAATAATAGGTTGAAATTTGAAACACAGGATGATAAATGATCCTATATATCATCAATCATCATGATCACATACTCATCAGTATGTGATCTCATCGATAGACACATCACATACTGACCTAGGTAGGTTACTGGGTCACATATTGATGGTTCTCAGTACAGTATCCTTGTTGTTTGCTTCTTAGAGATCCGTAGGTTTAATAATTATCTGGGAAGTTACTATACCTGAGAGATCCTCAACTAATACTGATCATAGATACCGAAAGTTTAAACACAGGATGATGCTGCATCAGACAACATATTGGGCAAAATCCGAAAATAGCTAATAAAAGTTTGCAAGGTACTTAACCCACAGGTTTACGAAGGAATATCTAAGAACCAGCAAGTGTGTCAGCTTATTGCAAGAAGTCATGCTATTAATTATTAAGATTCTAGCTAGATGAGTAACCAACTTATGGAACTTTTGTAGCGAGCTGTATTGATGTAGCAGTGATATGCATGGTGTGTGTGCAGTGCGTTCTCATTGCCAGGATGTTTCTACATAAGTTCTGTAACATTGCCTGAGTTACAAGATTCTGGTACATGTCAGCAGGTATCATTAAGAACCACCATAGTTGCACAAGCAAACAGTGTGCTTCTTTCCTCCCAGTTCCAGCTTGTCAACAAGATTCAGGTGTTACAATGTTTAAATACTGCCATCAGTTGTGTTCAGCCTGAATATCAAGTGAAGCCCAATTTTGTGACAGCAACTGACAGCACCAGCTGACAGCTCAATCACCGAATATTCGGTACTCGGTAACATTCGGTATTCTGCCAACAGAAATCGAATTAATGAATTTAAATGTTTATAGCTGAATATAATGATATTTAGTCCAAATGAACGAATGTGTCCATTTTTGGCGATATCAATTTTAACGAAATCATTTGTATTCGAATGTAAGGAGGTAAGCTGTATAATTTCAAAAAGAAATATTATACGTTTCTTTAACTATCTTTCGTTTGACCTCTAGGCTCTAGCCCCACTTTGCGCACCCAGAAGCTTAATTTTGAACTTGTTAGCACTTAGCTATACGATTCGATATATTTGGGCAACAATTTCTAAAGTTTTGGTTTGGCGCCCGGTCAAACATTTCACTTGAAATTCAGGTTAAATGCTTGTTGGTTCTAAGCCAAAGGAAAGACATCGTGTGATGAATTAATATCTAATGTTGAAGGATTGGCCAGTAAATAGTCGACAGTAAGACTGAACGGCAGTTAACCAAATTATTTTGAGTAATTTCCATCACTGACTTCACGTCTCTTGATGATTAATGAAGGCACGAAGGACAAATGAAACAAAGATTATTGTAATAAACCGACCTTTCGACAAATATTTGCCTTTGTCGGATCCTATTTACCTTGTCAAACTTTAATATGTGACGAAAAGTTCGGTTCATTACTATTCCTTTGTTTCTTTTGTCCTTTGTATATTAATCCCTGAGATATGCGAATTCAGTGATGAAAATTGTTCCAAATAATAGTAAAACAGTTGGCAAATAGGCAAACATTACAAAACTCATCAACTCGAGTATATTGTTGTAAAAACCAAGAGGCCCCACACGTATACTTAAATACCGAAGTAAAGAGGAAATTAAGAGTAAACAGTAGCACAGGGGGTAGTAGTATGGGGGAGTGAAGTAAATTTGATACTAATCACGTAACCCTACCCTGTGAATAGTTTGCCACAATCTCATTCCACCCCACCCGGGGCACTCTACTTGTAATTGGGAGGTCCCTTTTGGCGGGGTTGTTTTTATTTATCTGTGTCCAACCATGTCTATGCAACCACATCATAAACCTGGCCTCACTGTACCCACCTCCAGTCACTTATGTGAATAACAGAGAAATCTGGTCCGTACCCTTTTCATTGGGGATTTTAACAGTAGAATGCGGTCGACCAGTAATTATATTGCAACCCCTTATAAGTTTACTACTTGATGGGCAGCCGGCTTTAAAATGGAGTATGTCAAGAAATTTACCCATTTTGTAAGTGTAGGCCGTAGGGTTTCTCTTGACATTTAAAAACCGTATTCTTTGTGTTGCGGTTTTTGCGATAGAGGTGGTAAATAAGTGAGAACGTTTTTTGTGGTGCAATTTTCATGAAATTTAGGCGAATTTGTTGGAACAGTTAACAGCACTTGACAAACTTTTTCGCACCAAACCCATTGAAATGGGGTAAAGTTCAGGCTCATTTGTCATTTAGTTTACGTTACAAGATCCATTCTTAATAGATTTAGTGTTTGAACCTCTAATTTTGTTGCGTGTTTTGAACAACAGGTAAGCTCTTAAGATATCTAATTACCGGTTACCTCGGTAATTAACTTAATTACCAAGGTAATTAGACTAATGGAGCCTGGTTACTGGGTAGCGAGGTTTATCTCCGTTAGTGAGAATGTAATCTTATGTCTTGTTTCGTTTGTGGTGGTGACAAGTAGAATTATAAAGAAAACAGGGATGAATTTGAAGCAGACCACTCAAAAAGTTAGCTTAAGGAAAAACATCAAGTTTAATCAAAATACCGTACTAAATTCAAATAATTTGATAGATTGTTCGCACGGTGCACATGTTGATGTTATTTATTACTTAAATCGTTGCTTACTATTTTTGTTGCTACTATTTTGCACTGGTGATATGTACGTGATACTATTGCTTATTTGATCAAGTGATCTTATATGATGTAGGTCAGAGGTGGCATAAAACAGTGATGTGAAGTTTAATGATCTTCACTCAGAACCCGCTGTTTGCTAACACGCTTTATTATATCCGTATCTGCGATCCAGCATGCACATGACATATGATCACATTTACTAGATTCACTTTACCAGCAGACATCGTTTTATGCTCTTTCTGTAATTCCGCTTCAATTGATGTTTGCTCGTATAATTAGCTCAAGACTGCCGGCCCAGTTGTGGTTTGAAAATGCTCTGTATCATGTATGTGACTGTTAGACTTGGTGTATAGAGTTGTTTTGACTCGTGACAAAGTTTTGAATGGTCGCCGCTTGAAGCTGGTTGGTTGATCGCTCATGCGACGCAAAAAACATAATATTCAACAGACTCTATTATTTCAATTCGGCATTTATTTGTCTTTCTTTAAATACTGACTCGGTTAAAACCTCCTCATGCATCCTACAGCCATCCGTTCAAGAAACTCGTCGCTACTCAGCCAGCCAGTAACTCCATTCCTGTATTTATTGTTCGGCTACTGAATTAACATAATTCGTATACGTTCAATTCTGTTAAAATGTTCACCTTTGATAAAATAGTCTTCCAATCAATGCATGCCTTTACTAAACATGATGCTGTTAAACATCTTTAGTTTAAAGAAATGCTTTACAGCCTATAAAGTAATACGTAAGTCATCTCCATATTCCCTTATATGCTCTTGCAATATATTATATAACGGTTTGCAACTCTCACCTGACATTAGTTTTTACATGTCCCCTGTCTGTTGAGTGTGGAGCACACATGGCTCGCCATAACGTATTTTACTTGATACTTGTCTGGCATCTTCAGATATTATGCCATGTCAGGTTTGTGCCGTTTCCATGACACCGATGTGAGCATTCCCTGACAACCCATGTATTTCGACACGTGTGATGTGCTGACGGGCGTGGTCCTGTCTCATCATGTTTGGATTGTTGTCTTGAAAACAATGGGTGATATAAATCCAGTAGCTTTCAATGATAAACACAGCATCTCGGTGACCAGCCACACAAAAGAGTAGTTTAACAATGGGAGATGTGTCGGGGCACGTGGGCGTGTCACGCGCCTGTGGTTAGGCCCACGTGCAAACGGTTGTCGGCTCTGGTTGGTTGAAAGGACAACGTGGTGCTCTGACGTCACGCGCGGTAGTTTTGGGACGTGTTTTTACTAGTTGTTAACCGTATTAAGTATTATATGTACTACGTTATACTGTTACGTGTTGTCTACTATATCAGTCTCTCATTTTTCAGCGAACATTATGTTTCTCCTCGTGTTCCTCCCCCTCTTGATCCCCCTGGGAGATACAGCAGATCTGGTGCCACAGCGACCTCCAGATATATCTATGAGTACGCGACCACAAACCAGCACACAATCTCCTCCAACAACCAAGAGCCCTAAAGTCTCCTGGTTCATGAAAAACTACACCGCTAATTTTACGGTAGGTCCAAAGCGTGTATAGTTCAGTGGGTCTCGTCTCTGTTTGAAGGCTATAGCCAACTTTTAATATATTTTATACTTTAATCATGCATGTTTAACTTAACAGATTGTCAAATGCTCGGTCTTTAGGTCACCAGCAGCTCGTTCTGCAAATCCTGAAGTAACTCTTTAATTATATGAATTAAGTTTTACATTATCTTTGCATAGTCATGTTTAATTCTGTACCAGTTTATATCACTATAAATAAATAATTTTGCCAACATAAGGTCGGTTTGATTATATGCCAGATATAGATAATAGAAGTTAAGAATTAATCTAGTATTGGTTTGCTGCATTGAAATTGTACAAATTTAATTTATGTTTAACTTTGAATGATGTAATTCGTTTTCTCTCTTTCAGGGTCCCCCAACTCACACGAAACCACCGCCTGACAAGCAGCACGTGAGCGCCTCCTTCAGCTACTCATTCCAAGGATTCCTTAGCATGGTTGTAGACTTTTCCTCCACACCACCCCTCACTGTTGGCCCAACAGATGGAACAGGTTGGATTGATAACACCACGGGCAAGGAGGACTCCTCTAGTGACAGCTCCACAACTTACAACGGTGTAACGACATCCACAGGGGATGAAGCTGATACTAAGGGAGCTGTAACCCTGATACCAGGTGATAGATCACCCGGGACGGGTGACAGGACTACTAGATATATGGATTCAAAAGATGGTGATATCGAGAATAGCACGACTGTGTGTGTTTTTGGGGAGGCTGACCCCAGGGTGGTTGATGTGGTGGTTTACCTGACTGTTGATTTGGTTATCTCTGTGCTGGCTCTTATCCTTAGTGGAACTCAACTTGTTATCTGGTAAGTACTAATATCTCTAACACAATTTATATAATATACAGTATACACGGAGTAGTTGATGGCTCATATTATGTAGTAAAATAGTAGTGTTATTTAAGTTTAATGTGATCGCACTTCTAGAACAAATGCTTGTGTTTGCGAAATGTACTATATACTAGCACAATCTATCCATTATATTATATAATAGAGATTCAATGGATATTAATGGATATTTTGATTGTCTGCTACGGCAATTCTTTTATGCATTATGGTGCTTTAATTATTAAGTTGCCATACGAATGCTTTTATCAATAACAACCTATTATCTAATAATAATCTTTGTTGTACATCTAAAAATTGAGGAATGATTTTATACAAGGAAGTAACATGACCAGTGAACTTGTTATCTTCAGGTACCGCACAAAGGAGGCCCGGCTAACAAACAGATCACGTCTTGAAGGTGCTTGGCACGTCACCTACTGCACGTGTTGTCTCGTTGTTCTTGTGACGTCATCGCTCTACTGGATCGGTGCCAAGTTAACGTTTCCGCTTGACTTCCTCCTGCTCTGTACCCATTTACTTCGCACCAAAGCTGCTCAACTGCTCGTGGCAAAGATGTTGCTGTCTTGGAAGAAGATTTCCTGTTTTGCTGGTACCTTGCTCTTCTTACTCGACATCGCTTGGTTTTCCTTGTCATTTTCCCTCACAGCAATCATGATGGACGGCTGCCAGTTTTGTCAACGAACTTTATTATCACGAGATTGTTTGGCAAACAATATCGTTGACTTCATCGGAGTGTGTGGAGGTACGGTAGTTTATTGCGGAGTTAAATTTTGTGGGCTTCTTGCTGATAAAATACAACATTCTAGAAAACTCTACAGTCAGATTCCTAAAAACTCTACTTATTTGGTAAACCACTCTAACGGAAGAGTAATTAATGGCGAAACAAACGTTCAGCTGAAATCAAAGCGGTGGCAGAATTCAATTTCACGCGTATCCATGCTATTTTCAGTGTGTCATCAAGTTTTGAGTTGTTTATTTATTTTTGGAATCTTTCCAAGCGATTTTTGACCAAACTAAGCTTTCGCCTTTAAAAGTTCACAGTATATAAACATTAAATTGAAGATAGCAATATCCAATAAGACTGACCCTCATATAAACAGTTTCAATTTCAATTTTAAAACTTATGTCTAGTCCGAAGTTACATGATGTATCTATATACTAAGTCTAAACAGTGCAAACGTACCGCTGCTCAGCATGCAGCGCAAGTAGCCTGTAGCCGCATTTTGCAAGTCAAATTCAATCCTGTTTCCCCGCAAGATTGCAGGTCTGTGAAAACTTGTTTTACTGTTTGTGAGTCAGACTCAGAGCGTTTAGGGGTCGTTCACATATTATTATTACGTAATCATTTTTTTGGAACATTCTTACCCCCCATCCCCCCACCCCCCCCCCCCCCCCCCCCCCCCCATAGCTATTGTGTCAAAATCACACTATGCACTAGCGTAATCATTCGGAATCGGAACCCCCCCCCCCCCCCCCCCCCCCCCCAGCTGATTACGTAATATGTGAACGACCCCTTATGCGTGTTTTTTCAAACCAAATGCAACTTATACACGAATTGGCGATGTGGAGTCATTAACTGCTATATAAATTAAGACGAGTATCATCCGTCAAATAACGGTTATAACTTACAATAACGGTTATAACCTACAATACAAATACAAAAGCCTTTATGATACAGATAAGCACGCTTGTCAGGTTCGTTTGTACTCCCATTATATCATCAACCCTCATTTACCTTGTCATACGTTGTATGACCCGCCGCGCACGAGTGCGTGGCTCCCCCTGTATCGTAGAAACTCTATGGTGAAGCGAAAAGAAAAAAGAAATTTAGACGAGTATTGACGGATGTTACTCGCGTCTAAATTTCTTCGAAGTAGCGCGCCGCTTTCTTCTCGGAATGTTACTTGCCCGACGGCAAGTGCTATACGAAGTAGCGCGATCACGGCAAGTGCTACGACGGCAAGTGCTACGAAATAGCGCGCGCCGGGCCAGACCATTAACAATGGCCAAGACGAGTAACATCTGTCAAGTTTCGTTTTAGTGCCATGTTTGATTTTGACGATGTGCGGCTTTTGGAGCAAATAAACCGCAGCTCATTTGATTTTGAGCGATAACATAATGTTTGACGATTGGATACATGCTCGCCAACTTTTTCCATTTTCGGAAAGATTCCTTGGTCTTTTAAAGTAAGTACGTTCAAATGTCAACAGTCAAAGTGCAAAGGTTTTCGAAAAATGATGTTACTGGTAGTGCATGGTGTTAGGATTGGACTGCAACTGATGGAAGTTTTGTCGTACACGTTGTATAGACCTGCCGCGCACAAGTGCGCGGCTGTTATTGGTTATGTATCGTGGCTTATTTCGCTACTGGCCACGATACTAGTGAAACGGGCTTTTACTAATTCGCTCGCCCAAAAATTTCACGTGACTTTGGTTTTTATGGTTTTGCAGCCGTACAAAACGGTTTTACATAAACCCTTATCCCAACCCTAACCCTAACCATAACCCCGAAGCCAACCATAACTCTTACTACAACCCTAACCCTAACCCGAGCCCTAAACAATCGAATTCGTATTTTACTAGCCTGTCACGTGACCAAATCGGTTTTTTGCCCATAACTCTCCAGGGAAGCATTTTAACCCTACGTCATGTGAGGTGATTCGTAATCAGCGTCCAAAAATACACCGATTCTGATCATTTTCATCCCCAAAGGGCCTTTTCACAAGAATTTTCTTAAAATTTGGGCGAGCGATTTAGTAGGAGCGAGTGAAACGACAATGAAACAAAGGATAATGTAATGGTGTTACGACGTTTTACAACTATAGTACAAGGGAAGTTTACCAAATATGGTGCTACACGTTGTAAATGTATACTTCTTTCGTGTAAGCAAAGCGTGCACTCCGATCAAAAGGGGTTGCAGATTACTGGGCCGCGCTCAGCCTGTCATTCCGCCAAATCTTTATTTATATGTTAATGAACATAATAGCCTGGGGTCCTCAGGTAAGGTTGCAGAATGCAGCGTGTGCCAACCAAATATTTGTATCACGTCGTGACCCCCACGGTCGTTTCACTATGTAGAGTTTCTACGAAACAGGGGGAGCCGCGCACTCGTGCCCGGCGGGTCATACAACGCATGACAACGTTAATCAGGATCGCGATTTTACGCCGCGCACTCGTCTTGCGCATGAAAAAATTGATTCGGCGATAGTGGATAGAAATCGAGCGCTATAAGCATCACTTTTAGCTTCTTCACTGTTTTATCAGGTTTATATTAATTTCGAAAAACGTTTTATCATGTCATCTGTTTATGTAGATTATCATTTTGTCATTGGTCCCGTCGAGCATTCACATTATTCTCTATATACTATTTAAAATGCGTTGATTGCTTTTGTGTTTTGAAGTCATGCAGTATGTATTGTGCATTAATATACTATGATAAATATAAATCGGCAACAATAGAGCATAGATAGTAGCAGTTACTGCGAATGATCTCAGTAAAAATATTAATGTTGTGCATAAGCTCAGTGAAAAGTAAGGCTGTAAATCTGCAATTCAGTCAAGTTTCTTGACTAATAAATCATGGGCTTGAAGAAGGGAAAACAGTTCTTGATGATATCTTGAGGTTTTAACAGGTGTGGCCTTTTATTTTAAAATAGCTTCATAAATGTCTCCTAAGAAATAAAATATATAATAAGTATAAATGAAGTAAAAACCTCCATACCGTGCACTTATCTTTTACCCCGAGATGTCCGGTACAAAGAGCTTTGACTGTATTTAAATGAATATAATGGTGAATTTATGACAACTTAAGTAAGCCTATTGATTCTCCTGTATCATGGGGGTTAACTCAGTTATATGCCCATTGCTCAGGAAATCTGTAAGGGGGTGGGGGCAATAAGTTGATGCACCAAAGTTTCATCCTGGATTGAAGATGTTATACAACTGGCTGAGATTGCCAAAGAAGAACCTCAAATAGCATATTCTGCTTACACTAAAGGGTTGAGTCATAGATGGTCTTTTGTTCAAAGAACAATTGGAGGGATATCAGAGCTGTTTAGACCCCTCGAAGAAGCAATTAGAACAATACTTCTTCCTTCTATATTCAATCGCCCAGTAACAGACCTAGAGAGAGACATGGTCGCACTACCTCTTAGACACGGTGGCTTAGGAATTCAAAATCCTGTTCATACAGCAGACAGAGAATACGAGGCGTCACAGAAAATCACAAAACCTCTGGCTAATCTTATCTATAACCAAGATCATGATCTAGGCAAACTTGACCTCAAAGCTATTGCAAACACCAAAGCAGCACTGAAAGCTGAAAAAGAAAAAGATTTTGCAGCAGAGAGACTCAGAATAGAAAACGCAATAAGTTCTCCAGCAAAGAAAAGATCGTTTTCACTGGCTACACAAAAAGGCAGTTCATCCTGGCTGTCAGCCCTCCCAATGCAGTCTTATGGTTACTGCTTGAACAAGAAGGACTTTAGAGATGGTATATGTTTGCGATATGGCTGGCCTATACAAGATATTGCTAAACACTGTGCGTGTGGAGAAAGAAACTCCGTAGATCATGCCCTTTCTTGTTGAAAAGGAGGGTATGTTTCCTTTAGACATACAGTGCTTGTAGAAACCGAAGCAGATCTACTACGTGAGGCTAAATGTAGAAACGTTTATACTGAGCCAGCTCTCTTACCAACGTCTCCAGAACTTCATCCCAAAGGAACTACTACTGACAGCGGAGCAAGGCTAGATATTGTTGCAACTGGATTATATGGCAGGAATGCCAGGACTTTCATGGATGTAAGAATAACACACCCAAATGCACCATCAAACCTTAATGTTCCCCTGGACAAGTTGTACAAGAGAAATGAGGAAGAAAAAAAAACTAAGTATAACTCACGAGTCATCAACACTGAAAGAGCGTCTTTCATTCCTCTACTGTTTTCTACAGCAGGGACTACAGCACCAGAATGTGACAGATTTCACAAACGTCTTGCTAGATTGATATCAAAGAAGAGAAAGGAGAGCTACACAGATGTTATCAACTACATCAGGACCAAGATATGCTTTGCTATGCTTAAAAGCATAGTGGTATCAGTTCATGGTGTGAGGAGTCAAGAAGAAAAGAAAGTAACAAAAACGGTTGCTGACACAGCATTTGGACTTATACCTAGTATGACCTCTTATGAGTGCCGATAAATTATTAACAGGAAAATTGTCTTAATTTTGGTTGATCAAATGTTTTATATCAGATGTTGATTTCTTAAAGATAGGTGTATATTTTTGCTATTATTTCTATGAAAGGGGAGGTACAGATAAAGTACCAAACCGTATTGTGTATATTTGGTTGCAACTCCGGTAAATGATGAAACATGTCTCTTATGAGAGTGATACCGTGAGTTGCTTCCTTTTTTTTTTTTTTAAAGAAAAAAAGTTGATGCACCTTTCACAAGCAAGAGCCACTTTGGTCTACTTGCTGTGAGGTGTCTTAGCCACATGGGTTAGGGGTCCCCCCTTTAAAAAAAAAAAAAAGAAGAATTTTACCCTTTCTCTATACTTGAACCTTGGTTCAAAGTACAGTAATACTCTGATTTACTGCGCCCTGATTTACCGCAGTCCGCAAACCCTTTTCTTTCTCCCAAAACTCAGGGATAATTGGGTATTACTGTACTATTCTAAATTAGATACTATCATAATCAGTAATCTACAATCATCTATACTATATTTAAAACTTGATGAAATCCCCCGGCAATCCCCCCGACAACACTGAAAATTTACCAAAAACCGACCCTTCTTCCTGACCAATTTCAGCTCTCAAATGGAGTTGAAACCTCGCGATTTTTAGCAGGGTTGTAGAACCCTTAAAAATTGTATTTTACTTAATGGCGTTATTTTAGCAAAGGATTACTGCGTCATTGCTTAGCAACCCAGAATATTGCACGTGCTCGAGCAACCGCAGATTAGCAACGCGCATTGTCATGCTTTATGATACGTCACGACTAGCTCACATTAACGCTCACGCTAGAACTATTCTTAACTTTGGTTGTGATTGATATTTTTTGATGCAGTAAAAGGTATCGATTAGGGAATCCGAATATTGATAACGTTGTCGTCATTGTCAAATAAAATCCATATTTTCTACAGTACAAAGCTTAGATCTAAAGGGTGAAGAGATTAGAGAAATCTAAACATAAATAATTTTTTTTAATTTCCTCGAACAAAACTTTCAATTAGCAGGTTTCTAGTAATCTATAATCCAAACCAGATAGCATTAAACTGTTTCTAATAATTTAATTTCTGATTTAGCATTTGATGACATTCTCATAGCTTAGTTTACACAACAGTCAAAAGGAAATGTCCTTCTTCCACTTCTCCCTACCCTCGGCCACATCCCCAGAACACATTCTATCAGAGTTTAAACCAACATGTATTGTTGGTTTAATTGGCCACAGCAGATCGGATCCCTCCTCCATGGCATCCATCATCAACTCATCTCTACCTGGTGCTCAATTTGTTCTGTCCAAGTCAACATCTGAAATACAGGTACATTGCATTGTTCGTCTTAAAAAACCAGTACAGTAGCACTTGCAAAATGTAAGGCTTTTGATTTTTAAACAAAGAACTCGAGTTGATTATTAATAGACTGGAACATCTATATGTATAGATGTCAGATGTGTTTTGTGTATTTAAGTGGGGAGGTACATTTACATGTAACATCAATAAACCAAACCAATCAGCTTCCACTATTAACCAGTCAAATCACTGTCACGTGTCAAACAGTGTGCTTTACCTCCTTACCAGAATTCATAACTATACTTATTTTAATTATTTTTGATTAGATTTGATTTGATGATAGATGTGGCAATCTTTTAACCTTGATTGTTTCAGTGTTTCTTTGACGGTGATCAGGGCATCTTGTATATGTACGTGGGTAGACATGATGACATAAACAAGCTGAAGAATCTGCAACAATTGTTCGAAACCCAAAACTCACATCTTGTCCACCATCAAGAAATGATCAAACTTAAACACGAGGCAGGTTAACACTACTACTAGTTGTTTACATTCTATTTTAAGTTCTAGCTTAGATGATCGTTTGAAAAGGTAGAAAGTACACTTTGTTGAACATTATTGTCCGTAATGTCTCCACTAATTACCCAGCATCTGAACAAAAAACCACTGCCAGTTTCCATCAATAATTCATAACTTCCCCACAGGAAATAAAGACGTGGTTATGGTTATTTAGCGTGTGTCACTTTGTAGTGGTACTGCATCCCTCACAATCATTTGACGTGGAGTACATCAGACTCTTCCGCACCACTCAGCAGCTCCTGCAGCACTTTGCTCCTAAGATTAAGGAGCTGTATCCTGAAACAGAACTCCTGACCACGGCCAGGATTTATCGGCCCAGATTGTTGTTTGTTTTCCAGAGTAATAGTGCTAGCATGCACTTACCTCCTAAGAAAGGTTTGTAGAACTGATGTTGCACTTTTTATAACAATTGTCTAAAAAAGTACGTGATTGGTTAGTTTGTGTTCTGACGAATGTTTTGCATAATTTACCTGTTACATATTATGGTCTGACACAGTGTGGTGACTGTGTCTTGTGGGAGGAGTTAGTTCTCGGCATCTATTCGACCAAAATCTTCCTCAACAAAATAAGTTTTCCCCGTACTCTCAAAACGTTAATTTGGCACGTGCCCAAAAGTGCTCTGAGAACGACCATGATCGCCAATGGCGGCTCATCGATTGTTCCACTCCCACTAAATCTAACTTTACTATTTTCATAGTCATTCATACAGGAATTAGTAAGCAAATTTGCCAAATTTTTGCAGCTGGAGCACTGTCGCTCTTTTTCAAAGAGTGGTCAACCACCATTTTGTCACATCTCTCAGTTCATGTGGTCTAAATTGAATTAGCAAGCGATATAAAGACTTTTATAAGTATCAAAAGTTGACGCAATCGTTCACAAGTTCTAAGTTGATCAAAGTTGCCGTTTTCGAAATGCTCTTCAACTCTTTCCAAGATGAAGTTGTGCGGCTGTCTCTTGACTTTGATGCTAATTGACCCTACTTTCTTGAGCGAACTGAAAATCTTGAGCACCCCTGATGGGAAGATTGGACCCCCACCTTGTGCAATGACTTGTGTTGGTGTCGCGAAATGGACCTCTGGATCAAGTTATCTACTTATCAATATTGGGGGGTGTGCATTTGTGACACTACCAGTAATTACAACGAGTGCCCCAATAATAGGGTGCCCATTTTTTCGTATAATAAATATTTGGTTTGATGTAGTCATTTGGTTTAATGTAGGCACTGGGGGGCTCGAAGTACCAGACTATTGTAAATTTTATTGGAGTGCATTCGGATTCGAATGTTAATTGTTAAGGTTTCTTGAGAAACAATGACGTGATTTGCATTATTTAAGGACTAAGTATATCAAGGGTCGACCGAGTCCTCGGCCTCGGCCTCGGTTTTACCGAGGAATGGCGATTTTTCCTCGGCCTCGGCCTCGGCCTCGGTCAGGAGGACAATTCCTCGGTTCGCCTCGGCCTCGGTCAAAAATAGATTCGAAATTCCTCGGCCTCGGCGAAATTTGACGATTTTACCGAGGATTTGACCGAGGATTTTTGTTGAAATTTTGGGAATTTTTCTACAGACTTACAGAGGTTAATGTAAACGAATTTGTAAAATTGAAAATAAAACGACCAATTGACCAGGACACAAAACTAAAAATATCATAGTAGATAAGATTCATCGTCTGATGAAATGACAATATCTGAGCACTCTGAATCAGAATAATCTTCTGTGCACAGCTCAGAAGGGGGACAGTCCTCTTTATTTGGGGCTTCAAATTCATTTGGACAGGGGCCGAAGTCGTCCCCAAATGTTCCGATGTTCTTTTTGAGAAACAAGCACCCCTCAAAGTTTGTTGGCTTACTGAAGGGAAAGGAAGCAGTTCTAACGAGCTCTTCTCAAACACAAGGATATATTCTTGTGAACTCGGCTAGTATATATGAAACATTTGTCATGGAGTTGTAGAGGGAGTTATGTGCCTCGCCGGGCTAAAGTAGTGGATGACCTTGCTGTACGGCAAGTTAAACAAGGATCTGAAACTACTAGGTTCCGTACAGACTCAACTCTGCACCCGTGTCAATATGTTCATTATATGCAAGCCTCTTGATTTATAATCACCGAGTCTAGTAATTGTTTAAGAGAGTTCTCTGGCAGTTACGAAACTCGAGAGACTGTGGGATACTGAAGGGAAAGGAAGCAGTTCTAACGAGCTCTTCTCAAACACAAGGATATATTCTTGTGAACTCGGCTAGTATATATGAAACATTTGTCATGGAGTTGTAGAGGGAGTTATGTGCCTCGCCGGGCTAAAGTAGTGGATGACCTTGCTGTACGGCAAGTTAAACAAGGATCTGAAACTACTAGGTTCCGTACAGACTCAACTCTGCACCCGTGTCAATATGTTCATTATATGCAAGCCTCTTGATTTATAATCACCGAGTCTAGTAATTGTTTAAGAGAGTTCTCTGGCAGTTACGAAACTCGAGAGACTGTGGGATACTGAAGGGAAAGGAAGCAGTTCTAACGAGCTCTTCTCAAACACAAGGATATATTCTTGTGAACTCGGCTAGTATATATGAAACATTTGTCATGGAGTTGTAGAGGGAGTTATGTGCCTCGCCGGGCTAAAGTAGTGGATGACCTTGCTGTACGGCAAGTTAAACAAGGATCTGAAACTACTAGGTTCCGTACAGACTCAACTCTGCACCCGTGTCAATATGTTCATTATTATATGCAAGCCTCTTGATTTAAGGCTACAAGATGGCTGCCGGAGCTAGAGTTTTTGGTTGTACCTGATGCACCGACACCATCCATCTCACCACGCTTCTGATAGAATATTTCAAATTTCACTGTCAATTACTCAGATCCTGCCTGAGCATGCCCACTCCTGACTCTTGGCGAACTTGCCCCTTCATAATGATTGTAGCGTGTGTACATGCAGTATATTAGTACACAGTACAATCTAGGTACAGTGCGCTTTTCCTAATAAACAATGCCCTTTTTCCCAACAATTTTTCTGCCAAAATTCCTCGGCCTCGGCCTCGGCCTCGGTCAAAATTTGCACTCCTCGGCCTCGGCCTCGGCCTCGGTCAAAAAAAAGAAACCTCGGTTGTCCTCGGCCTCGGTCTTAACTAACTGTATTTTCCTCGGCCTCGGCCTCGGTCGAAAATCCTGCCCTCGGTCGACCCCTGAAGTATATAAAATTATTATTGAACGACCCCTAAGGCAAAATTGCTGTTTTGATGAAACAAACGTAACTCAATCCCTATCAATCTTAATACGATCCTGTGGGCCATACCAAGCCGTTTAACAAGGATACAGCTGTTACTCGGGTTTATACTTATTTGTGCTAAAATCTAGCATTTTCGAAACAATAAATGCCTCTGGCGCTATTACTTTCAACTTACTTGGTGACCTACAATTTGTGGGCAGGTCATTCCCGGTATTGGGATGGCCTGAGGTGCTTATCTCCTCGGGGGGATCATAAGGTCAGAATCGTACGTGACGTTGGGGGGTGGGTCATTATTTTCTTCCAAATCACAGTTAGTACATGGTACATTTTCCAGAAAAACAGTTAGTTAAGGGGGTGTCCAACCCCAAAAAACCCATTTTACCTCAAATTTCAATTTTGGGAATGGGTTTTGAGGTTTTTTTGAATTTTGTCCCTGTTTTTGTAACTTTTTATCAAATTCGACTACAATATTGAAAACAAAACCCCTACTAAATAGTGGGTATAATTTGCCCATTTCCCAATGTTTAATGAGCTGTTTAAAGCAATTTATGGGTGGGTATCTTATTTTATATACCAAGACACAGTTAGTACCGTGATTTCTCAACAGTTAGTAACACAAAAGCCGGCAAAAGGGGGTGGGTGTCTTAATTATTATCCTAAAAAACAGTTAGTACCGCGAAGGGGGTGGGTGGGTCTTTTTTGTAAACTCCAAAGTTACACTTAGTCGACGTCACGTACGGAACTAAGTACCTGATCCCCCCGGATTGAAACCTTTTAAAATTACGACTCATAATTCAGCCATCTGCTAACTTAATATAAGGTTTAATTACTGCGCGAATCGTAGACTTTTCATATTAATAAAATGTAGAATTCATCATCATTTTGAATGATGTGCACACTACGGGTCACATTCCATTGCATTGGTTAAAAGCCTTGTGATATAAATAAACACCGTATGATATAAATGATCTTCACACACTTTAAATTTCAGGACGTCAAGGTTTTAACCAGCAGTGCAAGAGACTCGGTCTAGAAATGGAGACACAAATATTCCACATATTCAGGAAGTGCCGTCTGCTTCCCAAACAAGCCTCACGAGGTGCCCAAGACTTGGCACATTTACCTCCTCCTAATGAACTGAGGGAACCTTTTGTTCTCTTTCTCGACGGTAAAGGGAGACCCTCCAGTGAGAGTCCTAGCTTTAAACACGTGGATACTGGTACGTTAAATATCGTGCTCACTTCTCACAGTGCATTAAATTCAGAATTCTATCACTGTAAAGTGTAAGTCGACACTCGACATGCTCTATTGATTATTGAACCGCGAAAAACATGTCTGCCTTCAAACCACAGCATTTGAAAGTTGACCATTATATCTAGATTGTCTTACAGGCTTACATTTTGTAACACATGGATATCACGACTCTTATCAATTGTAGTTTGTACCGGGTTTCTTTGAGATCCTGTAGCTTTGACCACCCTTATCCTCAGCACTGTATTACATTTCCCAACTATCTGCAACTGCTCCACAGTACGTACAGGACGTTAAGGAAGACACTATGACACTCGGCTCTTTTCTCAAACGTAATGTTAAGAACCTCAGGAATCAGGTCAGTAGAAAATATTATAACTCAATTTTTCTTTTGTTTGAAATCGATTTGTTTATCATAGGCGTTCTCAACTTTTGACAATTTTAATTGTTACTGCTCCTGTGTTTACATACTAAGAAGTAAAACTTAAATGTTGATTGTTGCTGTTCGTATACTTGGATTTACTTTTCACTACTTCGCCTGATTGTGGTTAATTTTCCATTACAAAGGTGCTGCAAGAGAAGGAAGAGGGAGTGACCTTTGTGCCACTAGGGGAGTGGTACAGTGCTGCCATACTACTTTACTCCTTCTACTGTCACGCTGACAATGACGCTAACTTTAGTGAGAACGGTCCTGCTAAAATAATCATGGTATGTTGGGATCCTTCGTTCAAAACAAGTTAGCCTTCGGGCTTCGTTACGATGTAGAACCAGTAGTGTTCTTCGCAACATGTTTAGTCATTCAGCCTGTGTTTCAGCGTTGATAATGAAATGGAAATAACGCTCATCATTTTACTGCTAATATCGATAGTTGATACTTTCGGAAAATGGAGATAGCACAGACTTAGTTCTAACGTTATTAACGTTATTTTTAGCAACTAGATCCAGAGGGGCAATACTCGGAGAACAGGTGCCAGAAAGCATATCCAGTCGCAAGTGCGGCCTACATGGACTCATTACCGTCACACTATACCCATGCCATTCACCAGGTATACATTAAAACCGCGGCTTATTATTATGATCACAATATGCGGTGTTTTAAACATAGCAGAGTTAAGTTGTCTTCCGGCACTTGGTCGCATTCGAATAGTGTGCTGTTCGTAACGCGCGGGGACCTTTTTATATCGGGATACATTTGCCTCTCACATTTGACGACTTTTTATTCAAAATTTAAGTTAACAGATTTAACTTGATTTCGATCCGTTCGATATAATCTAAACTTTATGACTTTGCAGTTAATTTGTTAATCATGTTAACACTTCGCTTGAAAACTGTTGTTCAACAAATCTATTTTCAGAGACAGCTTCAGCACGCACTGCACATACTGAGATCACGTGCTAAGGGTCCCGCCTTCAGCACATACGCGGCTAAACTGAAAGAAGATTGTGACGCTATATGGGAGGATGGCCGAAAGGGCTGTGAAAGCATCAGTTTAACAGGAAATGCCTGTGTCTTGCCGCTCCACGATTCAGCAAGGGTGCACAGCAACAGACTGAGGATGAGAAGCGCGTGCAGTTGCGGGAGAAGTATTTCGTATCGTTCAGACCCCTTCACTCTGGAGAGTGCTAACCATGAATTTTACATGTCCCTCTCCGACAAGTGTTGCTCTACGTTACCCCAACACAGGCTATTCGGGAGAAATCAGCTCAGTTGGATGATTTGCAACATTGGCCCCGCGTAAGTACCCTAAGCTACCTTAGTAGCTCGTTTTAGATTGAGAAGCAGCTCTTACCACTTTATGAGTACAAATTTATCAGGATCAAATGCAAAAAATACCATTAATCGATGCGTGAGAAAAGAAATCAATCACAATTTTGTCCTGTCTCCTAGGTCTTCGTACCAAACCACTATGGGGATTGAGCAGCCAGGATTTCTTCTCGGATCTCAGTACTTGCTACCGTGGGACCTGCCACCAGATGAAGCTTGGGCTCCCGAACCTAAGAACGCTTGGCGGGGCAAGCGCAGTGTCAGGTTAGCTCATCTTGTGCTTGATTTCAGTTTTTATGAGGGCTTTGATTCACAGACTTTGAACAATAAGTTTATGACAACATCTTGCGTTAAACTATTCTAAACGTCGAGATAGTTTAAACGAAATTTGAGAACTGACTGAAGTAACATTCCCAGGTGTTACGTAGGGTACGAATACGAATGCAGTAAAGGGCACAGGTTCTACTGTTCAGCAGGAGGAGCTCCAGTGAAGGGGTCCCCTGCTAACATGATCAAGGAGAACAGCGGGGGTAATAATGTCATGTCAGACATGATCCTCTACACTACCTGTCCTTCTCATACCAAGTTAGCTCAGTAATCCTTTATTTCACGTAATATACAGCTGAAATTGAATATCCACGGTAATTCACGCAAAATATTCCTGATGTTGATATATGTAGGTATGTAAACCTTCCCCATTAGCCCCTAGATTTTAACATAACTTCCTCCAGTAAGCCGCTGCTTGGTCAACTCATGAGAATAGTTGTCTGCTCCCCTGAACAAGTCAGTTTGTCCGTCTGTCTGAACGTGTCTTACCGGAACATCCGTATTTCCCTCACCGCCCCCGATAACGTCCAGATACGTGAGTTGAAGATTATTGACTTTCTTACAAACATGTTCATTGTATATATTTGGTTATAGCAATTTTGGGCTTGTGATCAATTTCATCATGCATTATCCATATTTTGTACACTATATTAATGACTAAAGTTCACACACTCAATTTCACATTTTGATTTACATTATTAGAGCATGATCATACGTTTTGAGTTACATGTAGATTGTAGAAAGATGAGAACTGACGAAAAATGTATTTCAGCGGGTGGGAAGATGACAGTGATCAGATTACCGTACGTGTATTGTGATGAGTCTGACAACCCCCTGCCATTCGACATAGAAGCGTACCTCTGCAAGGGGGCCCTTATCCCCATGCGCAGCAACAGACGGAGAAATGATAAGAAGTGAAGCGACACTTTTCGGGAGTTGACATGGATAAATTTTCAGTGAACGTGGTTCAGATCTTCATTCTTCCTAGTTGAGAGGATATTATGTTCGTTGCATTGAGTTGAAATTATAAGACAAATGACACAACACACTGTTCGTTTTACTGCTTGTTTGCTTAGAGAGTGTTTCCAGTTTGCTTAGAGAGTAAAATCCATTTTAGTTACACGATTATTAGTAACGATTGATAAGATCCATTATCTAATCAAAATTTCCTGACCCAATATACTAGTGTAGGTAGGATGGCATCAAGACATGCGACGAAGTACCGGGACAGTTCCAGCAACATTAAAGTCCTGCTGAGACAACAAACCAACATGACTCTTAATGACAGGTAATGATATCTTTATCCATCTAATCGGGACAACTCAAATAACGCCGACGTTACACGTGGACGATCCTTTTCTTCATTTCATTGGTATATAATACCGTTCAAATAGAATATCTTTTGTACAATAAGGACATTAATAAGCTTACCAAAAGCGATATACAAGTTTCAATCTCCTCTTCTCTCAGGTTCCACAAAATAATGAAGATGCCAGCCGTTGCGCCTGCACGTCCACGCACTCCCCCCAAAGATACGCGCATCAGAGAGGAGCTGCGAGCTCATCAGCGCAAACTAGAGACTCTGGAACGGAACACTCTTTCTATGATGTCCCGGTCCCTCGCCTCCCTCTCAACAGCAACTGCCAGTGCCAGCACGATACCCGTACCTACAGCCCCTGTCTACGAACCTCCTAAACAAAATGTCTCAGCCAAGGTAGAGATTTCGGTGTTTTGATTACCACATCTTCATAAAAAGCTGGAGTTTCCAACTTTTTCAGATGATAACCAGCAATACTGATTATGGCAAGTCTCAGTTCCATTATAACTGTTCAATTTACTTGTTCAGGCTCGACTTGGAGTTGGAAGAAACGGAAACGGAATCCAGAGTAGAATAGGGGCCAAGCGATTAACACAGAAATATAGCACATTGCAGCGAAAAAATGCGGGTGCCTCTCCTGGAGGCAGACTTGGTGAGCTACAATAAAGTTCTTTTAGATTTTTAAAACTTGATTTACCTTAAACTCATTGATCTGGCTAATCTGCTTCGTTAAATTTTAGTTAACTAAAATCATTGAACCTTGGTTCCCTCAGCAGGCAGATTGAATAGAGGCGGAAACGCGTCCGGAAGAGGAGTAACGCGGACCACTCGAGGAGGCGCAGCTGCACGAGGGGGCGGCGCTGCACGTGGTGGAGCAACTGCCCGAGGCGGAGCAGCAACTAAACGTGGATCAGGAGCAACCGCGCGTGGTGGTGCTCGTGGGGGCGGAACTGCCAGAGGTGGAGCCGCTGGACGCGGCGGAGCAGCCAAAAAACCAGACAAGGATTCCCTGGACTCTGAATTGGATAAATATATGTCAAAAAGTAGAGCGTATCTAGATACACAGCTGGACAGTTACATGGCTCAGAAGGGAGATAAGGAAGCTGCCTCTTGAGAAATAACAAGACAGATTATACAGACACTAGAGTTTCCCTGCCTCCCTACAACTCGCCCCTAGCTGTTCTTTTTATACACTGAAAAACTTACCAAACAATCAGTGCCGTGCCTGTTGCTAAACTATTGCCATAATGTTGTCAGTCAAAGAATGAGTTGCCTGCTGTTTTCGGCCGTTCGGCGACTTTGCCCCTTGTTTGAGTCTATTTTGATGAGAAATACTTGGAACTAAGAGCTAAATTATTCTGTGATCATCTGAAAGATTTATGTAAGGCATTTAATTCTCATCAAACATAGAATAGCCAAATTTGTATTGAAATCTTATATCCGGATGTCTCACAATTTGTTCTTTTTACACTGTTTGACGACGGCAGGTGTATTTCAGTTATTTTACTGTAATCGTGCAATATCAATTTTAATTTTATTCCAAGAGGAAATTAAGTTGTTTATCACTACCACTGTCTACAATCCGCTTAATCTGCCCAAACATTTCGACTGAAAGTTCATAATTCAATGAAGAGCGTATTTTGATGTGAAACTTTGTATTTATTTCAAAAACCCACCTTGAAATGTTTGGGCATAATAGTCGGCTCAGAAAACAAAATAATACACAGTTCATCAAGTACTGTACAGAATTTAGATATTCCATAAAAATCATATTATATTAACTTAGACCAAAGATTAATTCTACAGTCTAAAAATGCGTAATGAAAAGTAAATATCATGATTTGGTCTGACAAACTTCCCACGCCACTTCATAACAAACGGTACCATTTATATCACAGTAGTATTGTTACATTTAAAGTGCAGACGAAATAAATGTAGTCTATCAATCTAGGCAGTGGACCTCCAATACAAGTGAACCATAAGAACACTAAAAAAGTCAGACTGTGCCACTTAAAAACAGCTACCAGTCAAATAATAGCCGACAAATCTTGAAAATTGTAGCTCTAGGTACAGGTGTGGATTAAGAAAAAATTACAAACTCAAAATAATTGATACATGATAATTTCGCGAAAAATTAACAATAGTAGCCGAAAAGTCAGCAACAAAAATCAAAAGAAACCAAGAAACATTTCCCGAAACTTGCTTCAAGATCTGGCGCTGGATTTTCCAGTGCTGAAATTGTTCGGTCCAATGAATAAAAACTTTTCTGTTGTTATTGTTACCCGCCACGTCGCAGTAGCCCAACTTTTATGTTACAGCTCTATCTAGATGCAAAAGCTCTTGTAGAATTGACATCCGTTAAAACAAAAATACTCATCCTTAATTTCGTACTCAAGTCATAAACTTCATAGTTAGTCAGATCGAAAAATAAATATTGCTCGATAACTAGAATTAATCTCTTACGTAAATTTTCAGAAATGTATATAATTTACTGTGAAAATGTGTTAAAAATTCTGTTGAAACTTATAAATATTTTATCAAAACTAAATTTATAAACCGTCTATTTAATAAAATAAATTGCTATGTTGTAACACGAAACTGTAGTAATATCACTACACATTCTAGTTTGTTTCGTAGTTAAACAGAATTTGTCAATAAAAAGTATAACCGCGTAGCCTTAACAATGATGTTAACATAATAAACAAAGACATATAAAAGGCTCTAAATTTATGCGGCTCTCAGGAATGGTTTCTAAACTCAGTTGTTTCATTATAATCATGCTGTGACTAATTGTACAAGGTTTGAATCCAAATCAAGTACAAATTTGTGAAGATTAAGAAGGTAAGTTGCGTGCAATAAGTTAAAAACTGGTGGTGTTATCGTCATCATCCTTTGCGTTAGCGTGATCGTCTTCATCCTTTTGGTGATCCACACCAGATTCATCTACGCTGGAAGCTTCACTTTCCGCCTCAGAATCGGTTGCGTCCTCCGGAACTGACTCCAGCATCGAGACCGACGCATCAAACCTTACTTTGTACTCATCTTCTTCATCAGAAGATAAGTTATTCTCATCACTGAACTCTCCGAGAGCTGCTAACTTCTGTTTTATCTCCTCTGGACTCAGGTCATCGGAAGAATCAGATTGTTCTCCCTCTGATGCCACTGTAGGGGTCCCAACCTCCAATTCATCTAATTGTAATTCTTCATCATATAACTCTTCATCATTTCTACCAACATCCAAAACCCCTCTTTGACATACAACCAGTCCCGGGGTTTTCACCGACACCTCCACATCGTTATCCTCAGCAGCCTGCACTGCAGCCTCTACAACAGTTTCAACAGTTTCACCTGACAATTCAGCACCTGATGATGCCATAACGTCCTCCTCCATATCAAAATTCGGGGTTTGAACTCCGATACTTACAGGTGAATTGATTTCTGGGGTCTCAACGCTAACCTCTGTGTCGACACTAAAGTCGGGAATTCCGGCACTTACTTCCGGGGTCTCAACGCTAACCTCTGTTTCGACATTAAAGTCCGGAATTCCGGCACTTACTTCAGGGGTCTCAACGCTAACCTCTGTATCGAAACTAAAGTCCGGAATTCCGGCACTTACTTCAGGTGTCTCAACGCTAAATTCTGGGGTCTCCGTTTCGACTTCGAGTTCTACCTCTGGGGTCCCAACTTCAATCGCCGCTGCAGCACTAACTTCTGTTTCAAGTTCAACCTCCACCGAGGGTGCTTCAATTTCGACTGCTGCTACCAGATCAGGAACTTCAGCAGTAACGGAAGCAGCGATAACTGGAGCCGCTGGTCTTTTTGGCGGTACCCTGGGAGGGATCGAGTACTCGACCGGCTCGGCCTCATATGCGAGGTTGCCGTTAGTAAGTGGTAGTTCGTCTGGTAGCTCGGGTATGTTTATGTACTCCGCTTCTCTGTTCCTCCACTCATCGTCCTGACCTGATTGGTTTTATTAAGTAACGGTGGTAGCCGGAGTTTCATGCAATAATGCACATTAATTGAGAATAGGTATGCAGTATTAGTATGTCAAATGGAACTTTAAAGTTAAGTATAAAATTAAGAGAGAGACGATGCTAGAATTATCATTTCAAATGAGTAACGAAATCAATAGAATACAACTTACTCAAGTCGACAGCCTGGAAATTATCAGCAAGAGGATCGGGTTCCACTTTGATCTTCAAACTCTTATTTGCTGCAACATTCCAATTTTAGTTTCAAATTATAATAATAGCTTTGATTATTTAATAATTCAGTTTCATCTTCAAATAATCTTTCGATATGATCACTGATAATCGTCAGAGACAATTCTTTAGTATCTCGCTATCCATTTTCTCACAATCAGACGGAACAACTCACTTCAGGTCTTTCTTTGTCGTGTTAGTATAGCGATTTTGAGTTCTGTGAAGAATAAAGAAAGAGAGAAAACATTTGGTTAAGTTTCGGGGGAATTACTATAACAATATAAACATTAAAAACTCTAAATTCCTAATATTTATTTCAAAAACCCTTGTCATAAAATCTAAAAAATAGTTCAACAAATCTACTGATGACTACTATATGTTTTGTGGTTCATCAGCATTTTTATAGAACAACGAAATAGCAAAAACAATTAACGAAATTGAAATAGATGATAGTATGAAAAATCTCATCGATCAATGGCAGATTTATTTCCTCAGTTTATTCATAACAAACACGACTGAAAAGATGTTATTCGATAGGCAAAATCACTCCGTCATACATATCAAATATTTTCTGGTCAGGTTTCATGTATTATCATAATTACCTAACACGTTAATCTTCCCAATTGATGAGGTTACTATCAGTAGGATGATAAGTTTTGATACTGGGCAATTCTCGGACTTGATTGGCCGCTGCTGGTTGTTTAACTTTAATCACAGTCACGTGTCAATTGAAATATATATCACATCCTCATTAGTAACCAAGTCTAATATAAATGTTAAGACTATCAGAACAAGATAAAAAGATCCGACAAGCATTCGGAGATAAAAGTCATTTGTCGAGTCTGTCGGTCAGTCAGCGCGCGGCTCTCTCACACACTCGCAGATCAAGCTCGCACACTCCATTCTCCACGGGACACTAACGATTGTATTTGCGAGTGTAGTTGATGGGGAACGCTCCTTTCGCTCCCGAACCTTGTAGTTTACCCATAAACCATCCGGAATCCTGCGAAATGTACGATTTCATGCGGCTGAAGCTATAACATTAGGTACCTAATGTTATGTTAATGTTCCTCTGATTTATCTGTTTACTTGTGAGAAATTTGTAAGCAAGTTTATTTCACAACACAAATCATGCCCACCTGTTCGTCAGTACTATCCCAGGTGACCACTGTGATCACATCCCCCATACCAAACGACAGTTCATCTTCGTCTACAGCTTTATACTCGTGAATACACTCCACTACTGTACCAGTTTCTATGTTTATCGACGGGGAGTAGGGTGTTACGCCACCTGCAGAACAAAGATAATTAAGTTACTTATTTGTAGTTCTACCGGGAAATGAATCATGAATTTCCTAATTATCGGAACAGTAACTCAGTAAGTGCAACTAGGCTTCAAAAACAAATAAAAATTTGAAGCCCGGCTGAAGAAAAAATGAAATGAAACGATCAATATACGAGGCTTGGTGCTGAAATATTTTCCTCTCGCTCGATGATGATATTAACGTGCTATCAAATAAAAGGTTGGAAAACAAATATGTACTAACACATCTATCTACAGAGATGCTGTACAAGAAAAACCGATTTGTTATGAATAATTTGTGTTCGTGATGACAACTGATAGGAACATTAAAAACATTAAATACGATATCATACAAATTGAAAGTACAAATCAGAAATCTCTTTTTCAATTGCAACATTTATATGCAAATAAAGCTATGAAAGCAAACAAGAAAGTTGTTGATGGTTCCATACATATGGCGAATAATTGGTTTTGAAATCCCCCTAATTTTTCACTCTCACTCGGATGAAACGCCAATAAAGCCATTATAAAGCCATTTCAAAACCCCCTCAACACTTTAATATACTCATGAGCTCACCCTCCTCTTCTTCAATCTTTGCTAATTCCTCCTCCACCTTTTTTATTATTTGTAACTCCGCTTCTAATATAACGTTTTCAGATTCTGATTGTTCAGGCTTTTCTTTTTCTTTCGAATCCTTGACCTCTTCCTTCTCAACCGTTTTCTTCTCCGAAATGCCGACTTCCTTGTCTTGCTGTTTTGTAGAGTCGTCAGCCTGCTCGGCGGGTGTGACTTTTGTTACATTGGCTGCTACAGATTGGGTGGATTCATCCGCAACAGGAGATTTAGATTCTTTTTCAGTGTCAGAAGGTCCTACTGTGTCCTCTGTGTCGTCTGTGTCCTCTAGCTCAGATGGAGACGGCTTTTCGGTTTCTTTGGGAACATTTTCTTCGGGAACAACCTTGTTATCTGACTCAGCTGGAGTTGGCTCTTCAAAACAGGTCATCAAAACTGGTTTCCTTTTATCATCGTCAGAATCTACGATATTGAAATGACTTTTCAAAATCTCAGGACTTATCGTTACATTTTCATTCGATTTGCAAATAAAGCATGGTTACAATTACGGATTCTTCACAGTTCAAATTTGATGAACAGTGCTATTAGCCGTTGTCGGATAATCCTCATTTGGCTAGTAATACTGATTTGAAGTTTGAGATGTCCTGGTAAACAGTATAACAATAGGTAACTGTTTAATTTTTACATCTATAATGAAAATTTTCATGCCAGATTGACACTATGCAAAGTTTTGTAGTTGCAGTAATTGAGTCATTGACTAATCATGCGAATTTTCAAAGGAAAAAGTAAGATCAGTCGAGACCATTCCGAGACTTACTGGCCGGCTTTGGAATGTCAACACTTTCTAATTCTGCCTCTTGGTCAACTATGAGAACATAATCTTATGAAAATGAATGAGACATAAACTATTCAATTATCTGGAGGTGATCTAAAATATGTAAATGACCAGATGAGTGCGTACCTGGTTCACTTTCGCTGACAGATAGATCGACCCTCGGAGGCTGGAAAAGAGATTAACTATTTAAGCTGTTCAACAATACTTTAGTCTAGTCATTGTTTCAGTAATTAGCTCTAAAGAAGCTCACGTAGTTGGCTGTCACATTAGTATAATGCAATGTTGAATGGAAGAAGTGCGGGTCGTCATAGTCAAATGTCCTTGTCAATAATGTTAAATAATTTCTATTCAATTTCATATATCAATTAAATTTTCTAAAAGGTGTGAACGGATTTCCATGCAGAATGTGCTGAATGAATAATGGGTATTAAATACAAGGAACATACCTTCGGTCGTGCCGGTGACAGCGGTTTCACTGGACCAACTTCTAAAATAAAACAATGTTAATTTATGTTCAGTAAACTTACTCTTGTCTAAGTTGTCAGTGGATCTGTCTGTCAGTATTGAGTTAAATGATGTCCCCGAAGTCTCTCTTAGCCTCCGTGGCTTTATTACTGTTGGTACTGGTAAATATGGTCATGTCAATATCATGAAATTTCAGCGGTATTAATTCCAAGAAATTGCGAGGATTTCTAAAATTAGACTTAGAGATAACAACCGTCAATATGGGGAGTCAGGTAGGATAATTTCATTCGGTAACAGTGGGCGTGGCTTTAACTTACTTGTGGGAGTGTAAACAGTGGCTTGTTGAGCTGGGGAAGCGTATGGGTCCACTGATATACTGAAGTATAGTTAGGTTAATTAAGGAAGACGATAGTTAAAAAAGAATTGAATAGTCTTCATTAGTCTGTAGTCACCACTCACCATTGAGGTTAAAAATTGATCACAATTGAATTTCAAGCCAAATTTGCGTGTCGGTGAAAGGCAAGAGCATAGTAGTTCGATCCAGTGCAAAACCTTGAACGTTCCAAGCATGGAGCAATACAAGAAAACGATCAGATCGATCATTATCATCGAATTTTCAAAGTAAACAACGTGTGCTGCGCGAAAAGTCTCCAAAATGTACATAAAATTAATTTTCGCGCGTTCCATAATTTCCTCACACCAGGTTAATCGTCGCCCACTTACCCAAATAGCGTTATGTTTCGTCCGCCAAACCTTCAACGCCACCTGGAAACAACTGCCGCATAGTTTTCTTAAGCAATACACATTTCACAAGGACAACTTACTTTGATATACTCTGCGATGTATCCGCATTTTTCTTGGATTTCCTTAAAGCGCCCATAGATAAACTCCTCTTGAAGCTGCTGAAAAGATTGAATAACTTAATTACAAGCGGGAAAATATGTTATGAATGTTATTGATAAAGTTTACACATTTGCGGTAACATTCTGTCTTCAATTAGAAATGATATTCAGTAATTGATGATCAGTAAAAAAAGCATTCTTGACTCTTATCAGTGCCAGTATCACTTTCATGGAATGGGAGTGGTCTCTGGGAGTGGCCTGAGTGGGTCAAGAGGTCGAAACTCGGTTTTTCTGATGGTTTGGGACATGTACAACCTATTTAACCACCAAACATGTTCCAGATACCCGGACACAAATCCCCTACAGAAATCAAGGAAACGTGCTCTCCATTCATGGTTAAACTTAACAGGTATACCCTGAAATTTGACTTTAGAGACAAATTGTCTCATACAATTCTAAATTAGATGAATGAATAATGTTTGTGTTATCGAAATATGCGGTCGCAGATCCTAAACAATATGCTTAAATCTAATAAGGTAGAATTCTTTCGACCATTAGCCATTATTAGGAACAATCTAGGAAGTTACCCTTGTGCGACACATCATAATTCCTGAGATGCCATCATAACATGTACCGTCCCCGTTAATAATGTTCCCGTTTATAGATACACACGATTATACACAAGTCATTTATAAAATATTGGCTGAACGATACACCTTTTGTCCCGCAAAATATGTGAAATTCTTGATCCAGGTGTTATATAAACAGCTCATCAGATTAATTAGCATGTGCTTAGCCAACAATTCACTATTGTTACATACGTTCCACTTAAGGGGGCCGGGGGGGGGGGGGGGGGGGGGGGTCTTCATCAAAATTCTCTCGAAATCGAGTTTATAGTTGTTTCTGATAGAGGGGAGTGATACCTATCAGCTGCTTTTGGTCCCATGGAAAAATATTGTTCCTAGCCGAAATTATCACCGGTCTAAGGTCAGCGCTTATGTGTTATTGTATTGCGCGAGCGATTTTCAATCGCACGTTCTGAAAATCGAGTCTAAAAATCTATCTTCTCCTACATTTTTTGAGCAATCACCCTCAAACTTTCAGGATATGTTCTTAGGATCAGTTAGAAGAGAACTCTAGAGCCAGAATTTTGAGATAGGCCTTTAAAGATTTTTAACTCGATTTTGAAAATCTTGGACCTCTAAAATTCAAGGTCCAAGATTTTCAAAATCGAATTAAAAATCTTTAAAGGCCTATCTTAAAATTCTGGCTCTAGAGTTCTCTTCTTACTGATCCTAAGAACATATTCTGAAAGTTTGAGGGGGATTGCTCAAAAAATGTAGGAGAAGATAGATTTTTAGACTCGATTTTCAGAACGCGCGATTGAAAATCGCTCGCGCAATACAATTACACATAAGCGCTGACCTTTGACCGGTGATAATTTCGGCTAGGAACAACATTTTTCCATGGGACCAAAAGCAGCTGATAGATATCACTCCCCTCTATCAGAAACAACTATAAACTCGATTTCGAGAGAATTTTGATGAAGACCCCCCCCGGCCCCCTTAATGTTGAAAATAAAACTTAGCAGCTCTTTTGCCTTGCCATCACATCTCATCATTAAGTTTCTCTCGTGGAATGGGGATCAAGGTATTTGTTTTTCAGTACTAAGTCAATTACATTGCCGAGTAATGCCGCAGTAAGGCATTACCCGCTATCTGCTCTGAAAAACTAAAACGAGTTTTCCGTAAATTCCGTGTGATCTTGTATGAGTCACAAATACATTGTAGGTAAGTTCGTCTACGGTATAAAAAGATATTTGAACAAGTGCTTCTTTTCATGAACGGTTTCCTAATTTTTGGTAATTTTATCGCAGATTTCAGTATATTCTTAGGAATTGTATTGATAAGGCAGACAGAGTTAGAGTCTCGACTCAATTACGACACATGTTCTTGAAAAACTAACAGACTACAGCGTAAATCAAATTATACTTGATGTACGCCGTACATTGTACGGCCGCCTGTTTTACTTTATCTGCCGTTTGATTTAGATGAGCAAGAAAGGAAGCAGTAATGGAATGTAACAAGTAAATGTTACACTGTGATAGCAACCCGATGATAGTTCGAACCTGATTCAAGAATGTGGCTGGAGTCCAGGTTCTACATAAGTTGTCTACCACCCCATATATTTTAACTAACGGTTCCCATTTCCCAAACATTATAATTTATCACATACCTGCCGCCACTTTTCCTGAAGCTCTTTCTCATACTTTGTCTCTTGAATCTGTTGAATATGGACTCGTTAAGCCTGAGGAAGTAATGTTTGTTTGTCTGTCTGTCCGTTTGTAGGTCGTTTGAAGGTCACACAGGATGAGAATCTTCTTGTTTCTTTTCAGTCAAAGATATGTTTTCATATTTAGACTGTATAGTACGTGCAAATACTAAATTGTCAGTAAATATTGATTGTTTTGTTTCTACATCCGATGTTATTACTAGCTAATTATTTAGTGATGTGTGTAAGTGTGTGCCGTCTTGCCAGGGAAAATTGTAATCATGAAAACATATCACAAAGTCATCTGTATGTGGTCGAGTCGCGTGTTTTTAACAGGTCAAAACGTTCAGATTAAAAACTTGTACATTCTCACATCAGTACATTCATCAGAACCCAGCATAAGGTGTTATATTATACAATATAACTTTTATACAACACGTAATATAAACGGTTATCTTATCTCCAAGAAAATTGCACCCGAAAATAAGTTGAGCACGTACTTCCTGGCGTTTTCTGAGACGACGAAGTATTTGTCTACAATCGCAATGTCCCTTTGCGGGGGGAGCTCGTTCTTTATCTCCTCTTTAAGCGGGTCCAGAGCGTCTTTACTCTCTGAGTACACCTGCCGACATGATGTCAAGATAGTACCAGCTAGGCCAGAGGTATAGGAAGGGTTCTAGAAGTACACCAGTACAAGTTAGACTAAGATTGCAGGGAGAGAGGGAGGGAGGGAGAAGATTAACACTTTGTCTAGATAGCCCACTTTACTTTAACTTCACCAGATACTATTCACATTGATAGTAGTAGAGAGTGCTAACTATTAGAGAGTGCTAACTAGCACTCTCCAGGTGTCACATTGTTCATTAGATCATACACTACAGACGATCTACCTTTATTATTAGATGTGTATATTATTGCAAACCTGAGAAAACTCCTTGTGGAAGTCGATGCTGCTGCGGAAGAAACCGTCCAAAAACTGCATGATGTAGGTTTTACGACTGAAAAATTATATGAAGATTAGCAGAATAGTCTTTACCATCTATGAATATTATTGACACGGAAGAAGATAGTTAAGTAAGTAGTGCAATCGAGTTATTTCTTGACGGATTAAAATTTCAAATAATCAATATTTTAACAAAACGTGAGATGAGGGATGGAATTTCGCACTGATTTTTTATTTACATAATAATTACCTGATATATTCTATTTTCAGTGAATGAATATGTATGTGTCAGTTCAAAATGTTTTAAAATAAAGTTCCTCTTAAAGCTAGACGCATTTCACTAATCGCTCAGGGACTATTTAAAATCAAATAAGGAGTTATGGGTGGTAAGATTATGTCAATTTAAACATTATAATCATACACATTAAGTTTTTAACATTGATAATTTGGTACTTATAAATTATTCATGAAAATCGATATTAAAGAACCTCAAAAAAGGTCGCAAGGTAAGTTGTGTTATAACATAACTTACCTTGCGACCTTTTTTGCGACCATCATAAATGATGACTAATTCTGCAGGGCAGATGGAACATGGATGTTGATCGCTGTTGATCGCTGTTGAATACCTTAGGCCTACAAGATATTACCCAGATTAGGACAGCTCACATTCAACCCGTGCTTATAACAGCTCATCATTATCGAGCATTAATGTTTTACATTGCTACATTCTCCATATTCTATTGCAGTTCATATATTTTTTATGGAAGTTTTAAAATTTAAATTAAATTCTCTTTTTGTATGTGGCATACGTGTTTCAGAAAAAAAGTAATATAATTACAAAGTCATAAGTGGGCCTTGTGTAACGACATTTGATAGATGATGCGAGACCTGAATCTTGATTGTATCGCATTATCGCTATGTTATTTGATTACATCCCGTGGCGAACACAGTCATTATCTTCAACTGAAAATGTTTGCACACCCTTACATACCTTTGTGAAATATTAAGGGATCTATAACACCCTATATCCTGCAACATGATTTAGGGTGGTAGCCTCGCAGACCTGCACCAGGGTGGTAGCCTCGCCCACCTGCACCAGGGTGGTAGCCTCGCCCACCTGCACCAAGGTGGTAGCCTCGCCCACCTGCACCAGGGTGGTAGCCTCGCCCACCTGCACCAGGGTGGTAGCCTCGCCCACCTGCACCAGGGTGGTAGCCTCGCCCACCTGCACCAAGGTGGTAGCCTCGCCCACCATGCATAACTGCTGTTTCACTTCTTTCAGTTTTATATTATAGAGGTATCACAAAAACTACTGATAATTTTGGGTGCTGAGTACTAAAAGAGTAGAGGCCATTACACTGATACCGTAATTTTATGACTAATTATTTTTCAATTTTGTAAGTATCAAGCTCCAATATAAAGTGCGAAGTTGATAGCTGAATGCCAGTGTGCACTGTCTATAGATATTGCGTAACTGTGTCCCGCAGAGACCACAGCAAGTAATTATCCCATTATCTACAACACACACTAACGTACATCACCACAAGGTATTAATTAAGGGTGACAAACCCGCCTACAATAAATAACTTTTATTTCATTTCTTCCAATCTACCTTGAAATTCACGAAGTTTCTTTTTGTCTGATCACCCACTTGCAAATTGGGTGAAAATTAGAAGGTTGCACAGTAATGAGGGTGGAAATTCGCAGGTGCAAAACTTATTGTCGTGGCATTGTGATCGGTTTTATGGTTATTACGTTGTGTTTGGAGTGTTTAGGATGGATACGATTTCATACGATAATACCTGATTATCAAATAATACTATTTCCTTCCTCCCTGTGACCACTGGCTTTCTAGTATTAGATAAACTTATGACTGTTTTGGATACTTTGAGGGGGTCAAGGCCGTTTCAATAGTATCCTAGAATTATACATTATCTATCATTTTGTTAACAAGCCCCAATATCAAGTACGTGTCCACTAGTCAAAAGCTTCTTTTGTCTACTGTCTCTGGATATTGTGTTAACATTGTGTTAAGAGAGGCAAACATTTTACCACATTAGATATTATGTCTGTGTAGACTGCAAAACTGCTAAGGTTTCTACAGACTCGTTGCCGGCACAGCTTCATACTCAGAGGATGCCACCACGTAATCAAATAAGGTAATTGATAATTAATTTTGTGATCCGCTTCACTAGCAATATAATAATATATAGGTGAGCTGACGTAACCTGTGCACGCGTGCCTGATGACTGAGTACTCTTAAATCCGGGTTGGAAGTAATTGATTAATCAGGGAATGAGGGAATTGGGCGCAGGAGATTGTTGGCATGATGTCACCACAATCCACACCTAAATACTAATGTCATTACGAGGAAACAGGCCAAATTACTGTTGTCATATTTGAAATGGTTGAATTTTTGGAGATATATTTGGTTTATGAAATAACATTTCGTCGATAACTATTTCAAAGATACGGAATATTCTAAAAGTTGAACATATGTTTTTGAAAGGGATAAAATACAGTTAGTACACGTGAAGTGAAATAATGTTGCTTGTTATTATTGAGGGAGTATAGTCCAACACACTTCTATGCTCAATAAACTTGATAAGTTCACGGTTATTACATTACTAAAAGCCACACAAAAAGCTTTTACTTGCGAACCTGAATCGTGTGTGCTCCAGATCTAACAGTTTCGTCTCTAAAAAGTAACGGGGGGGTGGGGGGGGTGGGGGTCGGGGGATCCCCCCCCCCCCCAAAGTAACCAACCTGTCCCAGAATGCGGGGAGATCTTCACAGAGTTCCGAGTTCACCTCCTCAAACACTATCTTGTTCTGCATGTAATTATCCTGAGCAAATCCCAGCTTCTCTGGCGATATCTTATCTCCTTTCTTCAGAGTATCTAGCGTACGTTTGGTGCGGGTGTGGTCGATTAGCTTCCTCTCCCGCTTCTGCATCTTTACCTGAGAATTATAAAACCCATGTTAGAAAAATAAATTGTAGAGCTTCGAATTGCCAACAAAAATTTCCGCTTGTTAGTAAGCTATATAATAAATGCAGTGCTGTCAGCTAAATACCCAGGGGAATATTCTACTTTACTCTTTTATGTGTCCTGTGTCTCAGTTGACATTAAAGTGCAGCGCAAAGCACAATCTACAGGGCACAGGAAGCCTCAAGACATGTCATGCAATTATAAAGATCCACATCAGTGCTGACAGTGCTCTCCGAAATTGTGATCGAAGATTTAAAAGAGTAAATACACTTGTCATTCTGCCAACTATTCTGAACTGACCTTCATTTGTGAGAAGACTTCTACGTAGTTGTTTACTGGTACTAGTAACGAGTCTACCATTTGCTCGTTCAGCTCCTTGTTCAGCTTGTCTACTCCCTGAACAGTTGTTAGATTATAGTAGAAGCAGAGGAGGGGTAGGATTTTTGGGGCGCGGGTAGTGAAATTGGAAAGGCTAGTGTAATTTCTACACAATAGCTATGAGTAAAGACTAAAGAGGCTTACAGGGTGAGGAGGGGCCGGGAAATGTAATATTATGTGAACGATCCCTAACATATCTGACTAACAGGGCATACAATTTATTACATAATGTAAACACACAACAGATCAATATGTAAAATGTAAAGATATTATATATTCCTAACCTGAAGTGCCTTAACAAGGTTCATGTTTCCCGGCCACGTGTACTCATGCATTTCCCTCACTGCATCTAACAAGGTCTGAGTTGAGCTCTCCATCGCTGCGAGCAAATCACGTACATTATTATCTGTTTCTTAAAGTTACCAGGTCAGAAGAAAATGGATTGAAATAAAATAGTTTAAATAGTATTGCATTTTTTGCGGTGATAATTTATTTAGTCGGGTGCCTAAAGTCCCCGACTAAATCTTTCAGCGCAGTGCTTAACTGTGTTCATTGAGAACACTGGGCTGTATAAAGGATGTTTACATTGTATAATACATATATATGTACCATATATCACCTTACATTATATTTAACACTGGATATTATTATAATAATATGCTGGGTTGCCGTTACCATTAAAATATTTACCGCATAAATCGTCCATATTATTATGGTACATATTATAAAGGAGCTATTCCTTCCCGGAATCAGTTCTAGTAATGTGTAACCACTTACCAACGTTCTGAGGACAGTTTACTTACTTTTTAAGGAAGCGATGTAGCCTTTAACCTCTCTGTGGAGTCGCATGCCGGCTGCCTGAAAACAGAAATTACCTGTTAAACTAATTAGACATTACAGCGGTTTGCAAAACATTAGGTCGATGTTTATTGCACCATGCATTAAAACAAATTGGGAGTTTCTGATGTACAGTACATGTCTAGAACTACCATGCTAGTTTTAAATAATACAAACATAGTTTGCTACTTCCACCGTACGCCACTTTGCCACAAAGTAGGCAGTCGGTTAATTACGTTACTTGCACACAGCTGGTTCAACGTTAATTGTAAATTAAATGTATTTATTAATTCTCTTCCAGCCCTGCCGAGGAAGCCTCTAATTTGACAATGTCGTCTGAAATGGCAAGGAAATTGCAATTTGGAGCTCATTGTTGTTATAGTATTATAGATAGCAAGGATTGTATCGACTGATATAGTACAATTTCTTGCAAGTGACTCTAGTGAGAAGGCACTTTGCAGTATGTTTTATATTTGTGCAACACAGCAAAGTAATTTTAACTCGATTAAATACTGGATCATTAAGCAGACTAGTGAACAAGAGGTTCCGTTAGGTTATATTTATAGTGCAGTGAGACCGTGTTTTTACAATGATGATATCCTGACCTATACAGTGCTATGAAAGCTTATAAGGCTGTGTAAATAACTCAATAAATAGGTTTGATCCGTACATTCAAGGGTAATTTTCATACCTAGGATACAGATACGACAGTCTTATATCTTTAATACGATTTTGACAAACATAGAGTAGCCATGATATGTTCTGATTAATGACAAATGTATATCATACCCTTTTGGTCAAGTGGCTCTAAAATTAGAATTTGCGACCAAATCTCTCTGTTCATAACGCATATAATCACCCACATACACTTTCCACGCAAAAACATATGGTTTCATTTCTCAATGACCCCGCCTCGAGAATTTGTAACTTGAATTGAAATATATCTTAATATGATCTGTGTTTTAACTCGACCTACAATGAAGTTGTAGCGCAATATAATAAATCTTAAAAGTTAAAAACAGTCTCTTCAATATTAAATATTAAATTTACCACTTTCGGCTAAAAAAGGAAAAGTTCTAAAATTAAGGCAAGGATGTAAATTATTCAAATATTATTTAAAATTGATCTAACCTGCTGTCTGTTGAAGTTGGCGGTGATCACCTGCCACTTGTCATCCTTTGCCACCACAGACTCGGATGAACGTCCCATCTTTTGCTTGAGACGTTCATTTGTCCGACCTACTAACCTCCCTGTACTAGCCTTAATACGATCCAGCTTTGTGCCTTCCATTCCTACGTGTCAACTCTCAAACCATCAGCACATAAAGCTAGCGATAGTTAGTAGTTAAAGGTAATTAAACACAGATAATACTTAACTGTTACTTAACTGTTACTTAACTGTTACTTAACTGTTACTTAACTGTTACTTAACTGTTACTTAACTGTTATTTAACTGTTACTTACCTGTTAATAATATTTTACATTATATTGGTTTGTAACGTTTAGTTTTTGTCAAACAAACTGAATAGAACGTCAGAACTGTCATACATGGTACATGCAATTATATTCTGAAAAATATTCTGAAAAATAAAAAAGATAAGCAATCAGCAGCATGTATTTACTCTCACAGTTACCAAAAAAAGACAAGGTAAACTGGCCTTAGTTCTATGTTGAGGCTGCTGATGCCAAAAATGTGGCAGGAAAGTGAACATATAATAGTTTAAAATCGAAAGTCACTTTAACTGAATTATATAGCATTAACAATCCGGTATGATATTAAGAAGTTTTTAAATGACCTAAGATTTGAATAATACGGGGTAATAATCATCCCCTGCCAACCACTGCACTGTCATAGTGGTCATAGTGGTCATCATGTTGTACAATATTCATGTTCAATTTCCATGAGATAAATAAAGTGATAAGTTTTAAAAGAAAAGGCTTGCTAATAATAAATATATCTCAGCTCTACAATCATAACTATGAGGGAGTCAGTTAATGTGATACCTATTCCCTGATAAAATTAGTTACATCTTAGGTGTGTTAGCTACATCAAAACCTAGTGAGGTGCACAATCTTATTACTATGGATCATAAACTAGATCTCTACATACAGACTTAAACTATTATATATATTAGGCAAAACTTCATTGGCTGATCTTATTCCTCTGAATAATAAAGAGCTTTTCGACTGCTTTTATCCTTGCAGCTCTCAAAAAAACATCAGCCATCTTGGTTGTACAGATTCTGGCCGAATTGACTGTAACAGAGCTCCAGATCCTTCAAACTACTGATCACTTCCTACAACACACAGTGTGGATCCATTATGACTTTTGGCCAAAAATTATCTTTTTTCAATGTCTATAATTTTGGTTTTACATGAGAGTAATAACAACGACAAAAAACCAGTTAAAAAAGAAGAAAAGCTGTCGAAATGCAAATGGTCACGTGTTGCAACAAGATGGCCACAAGAGATCGGTATGTTGAATACATTAAGCAGAGGATAGTAATCCTGCAAGGTACGGTGCTGTAATAACTGCTTGAGGTGTGGGGAAGAACAATGACCATTAAAGAGCTACACAAATAATTGATTGTTTGATACTATTATGTTTATTTTAATGAGGCAAGGAAACTTGAGGCTCACAAGCCTCATGTGAATTTCACATGCAAGATTGCTAAGAAAGAGCTGAAAATGTAAGCTAATTCATAGGGTTTTTGCAATATCATTTGCAAACAGTTGGCCTTTAAAGATTGCATTCTTTGAACCCAGGCATACTTTTTGAAAAGATATTAGGAGTTATCTTTAAATATTTTAGAAGGTATTTTCAGCAGTTAATCAGTGATATCATGTGCACGATGGAGGATGCTCGGACATGTCCTTCGCAGTGATAACAACTCACCTGCACAGCTTGCATTACACTTTGCAGTAGAGAGTCAGAGTACTAAAAAGGGTAGAGTAGGCAGACACCAGTCGAACTTGCTTAGGACTATTAAATTTGATTTAGGTAGTAGGAACATTCCATTTGTAAATACAGACGATTTGTACAATTTAAGACTTTTAGCCTCTGATAGAGCGGGATGGAAGAAGTTGTTATAGCTTGTGTATCAGTATTTCTTTTTTTTCTGGCTACTTATCAGATCTTTAAGATGTTCATTTAAATGTTCTATTTTTGATTTGAATAAAGTTATATAATATATAATAAAATCAGTGATATCTTCACTCAATCAATGCCCTGATTGGCTGGAGACTGCTTGTAGGACAGCAACCGAAGCGCTATAACGGGAAATTCTTCGGTTTTTTAAGGAAAGTCATTATCAGTATTTAATCAAAATGATCAGATCGTCATCCACCAACATGCTCGTTACCGCCTAATGAGGCTCATTGTTGCTCGATAAATAGCTCCTGATGACATTACTAATTGGGTGATACCGAGATCACGTATCTGCAATATCTTAAAAGGGTCATAACTTGGTTAAATTGCAAACAACCAACTTGAAATTTTGGGAAAGCACTTCAATTATCAAACCAAATATGTCTACAAACTTTGAAGTTCCTAGCTGGAAGCGTTTTCACTTTATGGTGACAATAGCAAAAAGAGGGATTGGCGTGCCACACCCACTGTAATTAATTAGATTTGACGAAACTTTCAGGAAATCTAAGTTTGACCCATATCTATAATATCTGGAATTTCTGTGCAATTCTAAGAAGAATTACGTGAGTTATTAAAGGGTTGCGCGTGGGCAGATACTTCTGGGCCACACTGTATATTGTTTGTGCTTTAAATGCCATCAATGAAATTGAAAGAATATTCTAGGCAGTATGTGAGCTATCTTTTTCAATAAAGTATTTGCTTCTCTATATAGAATAATTGATTGCCTCAGTTCTTTTTGCACTCTTGCAGCTATTGAAATGTCCATTTTAATTGTGGCATCCGGTCAGAGACACCTATTATACCTTAAGAACGACAAATTTAGTCTACCATTGTTAGGTGCATCTACCTTATTTAGTCACGTTATATGTTAATGATCTGGCCCGGCGCGCGCTACTTCGTAGCACTTGCCATTGGGCCATTTCGAGAAGAAAGCGGCGCGCTACTTTGAAGAAATTTAGACGAGTAACATCCGTCAAAAATTGTTGAAAACTAAAAATTTGCAAAATTTGTGACTAAAATTATGGTAACCAAAATTATTTTGAACCATATTTATTGGCCTTGTCGGATGTTACTCGTCTAAATTTCTTTGAAGTAGCGCGCGCCGCTTTTCTTCCGGGCCAGATCATTAACAATGGTCAATTATTGGCCTTAAGGTATACTTAAATAATTATGCAATGATTTTGGTTGCCCCATAGTGTAATATGTATGATAAGCGCTGTAAATTAAGTATTATCGATATCAATACACTACAAACAACCAAGTATTATATATGTACATAGATAATGATTGTAAACATTGCATAAATTATGTCACTTTTACCTTAAAATTAAATATTTATCGCTGCTCATGAACAATTAATTAACTTTATGCTTTAACGGATGGTACTTGGATGATACGAATTTTTTGCTATAGCTGCCATACAAAAACATGAATTGCACCCGTCGTTACGTTGTCAGTTGTGGTGGACGCTAGATTTCCTTTCACTACAAGCTCTAATCATACTAGATGTTTTAAATCATACTAGATGTTTTAAATCTGCTAGTTTTAAGTGCAAGAATGGCCTATGGATGTGCCCAGATTGTGCACTTATCACAGAGGATAGGTACTGCCCCTTTGACAATCAAAAAGATCTCGAAAAGTCGGACAGGCCCTACAATGAGGGTGCAGAAGACACCCTCATCCAAAAATTTTGTCATACCCTCGAGAGCTGTAAACGTTATTCCAAACGTGAATTCACAGAAGTAGCTACAAAAATCAGCAGTGGTGATGGGTCCTTCCTCTCAGCACTGTTCCTCAACATTGATGGCAATGCCAGTAATTTCGATACATTCCAAGTTGAACTCAAACGGTTATCTCATCCATTTGATGTTCTTGGACTTGCTGAAACCAACGTTGGTAGTAGCTTACAAGAATTATACCAGATCCCATCTTACACCAGTTTTTATCAAAATACCCTCCCAGATAAGAAAAAGGGCACTGGGGTTGCGCTTTATGTCTCAGACAACCTTAACACTGTTGTCCTAGAAAAGTTATCCTACTGTACTGTAAACATTGAATGCCTATTCGCCGAAATCACTGATAGCACTGGTGTTGGGGTTGTCTACGGAGTTGTATACCGTCCCCCTAGTGGCTGCCTTGAGGCTTTTTGTGAAACTTTACAAACCATTGCTAAGCAGATATCCGGCAAGCCCTTTCGTTTGCTTGGTGACTTTAACTCAGACCTCTTCAAAGTTTCGTCACACAACCAGTTATTTGAAGACACTATAATTAGTAATGGTTTGTATCCATCCATCTCAATTGCTACCCACTTCCGGCCTAACTGTAAAAACTCGTGTATAGATAACATCCTAGTTAGTGATATTGATAATGTTTTGCTCTCTGGTGTACTTCAGGATAGATTAAGTGAACACACGTTCATATTCTCCTTCACCTCAACCCCGGCCCCAAGAAATAAGAACAATGAAAAACATGTCCGCTACTACGACTACTCAAGTGCCAAGCTTAAAAATTTTGTTTCTGACCTTGAGGTGAAGGTGAATCAGCTGTCCCAATCTTCAGATTTTTGCGAATTTGTCGATTGCTTCACATCCACCCTTGACAAGCACTGTAAATTAGAAGTACCGAAAACGACCAAAAGAACACCAAAGCTTAATCCTTGGATTACAGATGGAATCATCCTCTCAATCGACAGAAAACATGAGCTTTGTAAAGAATGGTCAGATACAGTAACAAATAAAGATCCATCTGGCAATGTCCTTCTTTATAAGATATTTAGTGACTATCGTAGGATGCTTAAGGGTATCATAAAGGCAGCCAAACGCTCCTATTACTGTAACGAAATCTATAAAAACATTGAAAGCAGTAAGAAAACTTGGCAGATAATAAATGAGCTTAGGGGCAAAAGAAAGAAAACAACCAAACCACCTTTTATCATCAATAATGAAAGAATCTTGAACCGGAGAGCAATTGCCAATGGTTTTAATTCCTGGTTCGTATCAATTGCTCCCAAGCTCAATGAAACTATCACAACTGACTTGTCTTCTGGTATTCCAATTCTCCCCATGAAAACATTCCATGACTTCCTTAGCCCTAGTAACTCTCGATCTATTATGTTAGAGGACAGCACTCCTGAGGAGGTTCTAAGAATAATCAAAGAATTCGAGAATGGAAAGGCCAGTG